AAAGTTGAAAAAAATGCAATTTAACTAAAATACCAAACCACAAGAAACAAATAGCTACTGTTTCGGTGAATGATGGAAACATTTATATAGAACATATCCTGAAGTATTCATACTGCAAGAGTCAGTAAGTACTTGGATGATGCTGCCAAAACCAGATTTGTTCTTTACATTTTTACCCACCCATTTACAGCAATTCTAAACTAGCTCTTTCACAATTAAATACTACACTAAATGTTTAATGAAGTGGGTGTTTTACAGATTAGTAATATATTTAACAGTGCACAATATTTTCTGCAATTTATCAGCTTGATGCCAATGTTACAAAATTTGGAAACTAAAATTAATAGGGGCTCCGGATTTTTTTTTTTTAAAAAAGTACCATCACAAAATTACAAAAACCCACTTTGTTTAAAAAAAAATACAATACAGATGAGAATTCAGGTTTCCCCACACAAAAACAAAACAAAAAACAAAACACCCTATGTCCTAGTTAGATTAAATTATTTCAGCAATCAATCTATCTAATAAAGGAACCAGAACAACCATTTAAATATAATTGTAGCGTTCACATAATACTTGGATGGTATAATTCCATTCACTGATGCTTCATTTAAAATTCCATTACAAAACAACTAGATAACTGTATGTTATCAGTAGGTCACAATTTCCACATTCAACAACTTCATGAGAATTTAAATCAAGTTGCTTAAAAGAACCCAACACATTAATCGGTCATTTAAAAAAAACCAGACATTTAGAGAAGCAATTTCATGAACACACACCAATGCACAGCTGTCATAAGGATTCTTGTACTACTAAAATGGTTCAAGATAATTAGGAGACAAACTTGTGTTGGATGGATAATAATTAATTAGTTGTCCTTCCTTCCCCCACAATGACTGGTAGTGTTTAATTTTTAAAAACAAAAACAAGTTATTATCTATACGCTACAGTCTGCATATAGCAGAATCACTGAAATTTGAACTACCTTTTCAAATCCATGAACTTTGCTATCAAGTGACAAATGTATTGACTAGTGACTTCCTTTGGGGATTCTCTCCTCCAAAAGAGATCAGATCCCCACAGCTGCTTTTAAAACTTGATTTTTCAATAGCAAAAATAGTACTAAGGTGTCACGTGCATGCAAAACAAACATTTGCAACTGAAAGCCAAGTTATTAATGCAAACAAGGGATCTCAATGTTTCAGAGGAGCAAATAAATAAATGACAGCTGCGAGACTGCATGTCAGAATTTGCTGCTCTTGCAGTACAATGCTATGTAGGAATAGTGGATCTTTCACAGCACTGCTACAGTGACAGTTAACAGATCCAAAAGCATAAATTTGATTTACAATACTAGCATAAAAAGTTTGAGCCCAATGGGAGAGTTTGCTAGATTTTCTAGATTTCATAAAGAATCACAGGTACTTTTGAAGAACCTGTACCGGATCACCACTTTTTTATTTAGGGCTCTATGCAGATTTTAAGAGACTGTCAAGATTATACTGAAGCTAAATTACAAATTATGAAACATAAAACACTAAAATTCCCAAAACAGTTATAAATTCTCGTTCAAAAAAAAAAAAAAAACTGTCAACATATTCTGGCTAATTAGCAAACTTAGATTTAATACTTCCTACAGTAGGAAATAAATCTGTATGCATTAACATTTCAACGTTCTACTTAGTAGAATAATGAAGTACAAAACAGCTTATAAATAGGGTAAAATGCAAAAGGTTACACATTGAAATTTCTTTTTTGTTGACACCTTTTGGCAATACCACTTCTTTCCTTGTCTAAGAACTGCTTATTTCCATACCATAAAGAGCTTTCCAGTGTTCCTGTTAATAAAAACTGATTTTTTCCCTAACATTTTAAATATCTTAATCTCAAGAACTTTGCTCACCTCTTAAGGTATTTTTTATTTATTTATTTATATTTATATTTTTATTTATTTATTTATTTATTTAAATTGCCAGTGTGGGGCTTTTTTTGTTTTTCATATACAGAATAAGATATCTTCATTTTCTAATATACATTTTTTTAACGTGGATCAACAGGTCCTTTTTTATTTTTTTTTTATTTTTTTTTGTGGAGCTTGCAGTAGCAGCTTGAAATATATACATATATTTTTAAAAACTTCTGCATGTCCACATAAGTATTTTAACAGCTATGAAATGAAAGTCTGAGAACTTCTATCATTATATTTAAAAGGTTTTATGTGCATATGCCCTTTAAATAAATGCAATACCCTAAACAAACGTATCCATTTCAAGGAACAATTACAGTCTATCACAGTATATTCACATTTGGGGCGGGGGAGGGCTGTGTGTGTAAACTACAGATTTATTCCACATACGAATAGTTCCTAACGTGTTCATGTACTGCAATAAAATTCTCCTTTTATCTTATTTTATACACAAAAAAAAAAAAAAAAGTAATTACACAAAGGTCAAATCTTACAAAAATTCAGTTTCAAGGCTGAAATTCATTCCCCAACTCAACCCAGTGTCCATAATATTAAATGCCTCCCAAAAGTGAGGTTATATTTTCCAGTAACACTTACATGCGACAGGGTGAGCAGAGAACAGTTTCAACCATGACTCTAAATTCATTTGCTCTTCTGTATTTAAGCCAGAAGAAATTCTATGAATTCAGTTCTGTTTATCATTAGTGTAAATGCTATTATTCTTTCACTACCCTTTTACATATGCTTCTTCACCTATTACTACTGTACTTACCTTACACCTTTGCTCAACCTTAATGTATACTTTAAGGTTAACACCAAAACCACCCCCACCCTACAAAAATAACTATTATGAAAGGAAAATATATTCCCAAACTCCAGTTTCGATGTCACTATAAACCTTTTCTATTATCCCAGCTTGTCTGTTCTTTGAAAGTAACTGGTAACTTAGTTCATGAATGTGTTCAGCAGAGAGATTTGCATTTTCTAACAAATTTGCCTAACAAATTAGATTTTTAATGTTGCAGTGTTTTACCTACAATAAAACAGACTACTAAAAATATGACATCAATATATTGAAAGATATACCCTTTTACAGAATACAGAAAATTTTCATAAGGTTTCATTAAAAAATAAAATGCAATTTCTCTCTTTGGAAAGAAGAAACTAGGTTTTAGTTTACAAATTAAAAAGCTGTTAGGCAAGTATCTTTCACATTCAGGTATGAGGAAGACACAGAAAGGCAGAGCAAACTGCCACAGAGAAACATAAAAAGGGAAATATATGTTGGATTTTTTAAACAAACAATTTAGTTCTCAAACCACAGTAAGCAAAAGGAAAAAACCTAACCCAATTTATTCATTCATTGAACAATACTGAATCCAGCCAACCCTTTCACAGTTTTCAAATGTAAAGCAGCCACCTTAAAGATACATTTCTTGTGGAACTGCTTCACAATGCAAATTTCAGTCATAGATATTGACTGTACAACTGAGTGAAAAAAGAGAGAATGCAAGGTGTAGGGAAGATGGAAATATAATGAATTCCAGGCCCATTAGTAGTCAACATAAGATTGGCAGGAAAATTACAGTAATGTGTGCAGACAAAAAAAAGATATCAGATACCAATAGGATTAAGAAACAGTATACAAAATTATACATTTGAAAACAGTTAGAAGGCAAGATTTTAGTTTTGCTTTTAAAAAAAAAAAAATCGAACATGGATTTTATCAGAGCATCCCCGAAGGAGATGATGAAAGTGCAGAAATTCTGCAAAGGCACTGTAAACTTTTAAACGATAGAGGCAGTCGCAAATACAAAATAAATTTTATACAGCAAAAAGGCAGAGCATACCACTGAGGTACAGCTGCTCTTTTACACTCTCTCCTCCAGAATGAGTTTCATGAATTCAACCAAACGTACAAAAAGTATGATACCTCTTATGAGAAATGCTAGCTCCACAAAAAAGGGCCTATTGATGTTCATAGAATAACAAAAAAAGAGAAAGACATAATATTGCACATTCTATAGCTGTTGCCATCTTTTTCAGTTTCCAAATTAACATCATGTTTCCCCAAGTACAATATTTTTTAAAATAAGAGTCTAGGTGTATCTGAGAAAAATGGTAGCAATATCTCCAAGATTAACTATCACTGAAACAATGCCAAAAAGCTTAGTACAGTTAGGCACTGAACAGTACTACTGTATTGTCTGAGATATGCTAATAGATATTAGCTTTAATTAAAGAACAATCAATATGCAAAATAAAACATATTTCCATTAATTGCAAGTTCTCAAAAACAGGCTCATTTATCTGACATTTAACAAGTGAAGTGGTTGTCAGTCTTATGAGCATTCAACTTTATTTTCCATGGAAAACAGGAATCTACCTTTAACAATGTATTATCAAGTACAATATTCTTCTACAAACACAGAAAGGACAAGTTTGTGATTTTTTTTTTTTTTTTTTTAATATAAGCGACACTAATACTCAAGATCAGCGGTTCTCAAACTGTGGGTCAGGACCCCAAAGTGGGTCGCAACCCCTTTTTAATGGGTAGCCAGGGCTGGCATTAGACTTGCTGGGGCCCAAGACCGAAGCCCAAGCCCCATCACCCAGGGCCAAAGCCAAAGCCCAAAGGCTTCAGCCCTGGGTGATGGGGCTCACGTTACAGGCCCCCGCCTGGGGCTAAAACCTTTGGGCGTTGGCCTCCCTGCCTGTGGCGGTAGACTCAGGCTTTGGTCCCCCTCCTGGGTCATGCAGTAACTTTTGTTGTCAGAAGGGGGCCGCGGTACGATGAAGTTTGAGAACCCCTGCTCAAGATTATTTTACCACAGATGGACACAAATACTTTATTTTTGGACTGTATACTCCAGAAGTACACTAGAAGGCTTAAGGATTTTGCTTACAGTGGTATGAGAACAGGAAGAGAAATAAGTTATGAAAAATGGAGCACAAAGTCTACATACATATTGAATATTACAATGTTCATGTACTTTTCTCTTTGCAGTTCATTCCAAATTCAGTTTAATTGTGCAAAAAAAAATTATACAATTAGAAAACAGCTGTCCCAATAACAAAAACATAAAATGAAATAATGTGTAACATTCAGAAGTTATTAAAATCCAGACAGTGAGATTAAGATGGGACAGTAATAGCTGAAATACATAATTGAACCACCAGTTAAACTAAAACCTTTCTAAAAATCAGGGGCTAATGTTGATGAAGTTACATTACTTTTCTGTTTGTACATGTTCATTTTGGTGTTACTCCTCCTCTAAATTGGATTCCTCTGATTATTAACACATAGGTTCTTGATTTTCTAGAATATTACTTTACATCAGAAAGTTGTACTTTTTTTTTTAAAATCAACCACCGTTCTGCACTTTTACATTAATAATTATACCACTACTCTAGAAAAAGTTACAGACTTCAGGAAAACATTCAAATTAAATAACTATTTGCCAAGATTACACTGGCAATGTACATAAGGACCAACTGCCCAACTGAAAGCGTATAAGTCAACTCGACAACTTAGTTTTTGATCACTAAATGTACAAACAGAAGTGTGAAAATTTGATATGGTACATTTGAGGTTTTTGTCAATAAAATTTTATAAAACATTTATTAAATTATTCAAATTTAATCCAGCTATATGAATGCAAGTAGATACAAATGACAAAATGAGTAATAAAAAACTGATTAATGTTTCACAGCATAAAAAACTTTACAATGAACTTTTAAAACCCTTCTAAGATGAGCATGTTTAACATTTTTGTTAAAATATGCAAGTAGGGTATCACAGCACTACTAAATTTACATGGGAATAAAGAGAGGAAAACCACTGTCATTCATATCTTTTAGGCACAGAAACTCGCATTATCTGGTAAAACACTGGCATAAAGGGTGAAAAAATGTTCCTCTCAGTATTTCTATTATTTTAGAAGTGACTGGAAACCTTTGGTTACTGTTCATAAACAAATCTAATGTAACACCCCCTCCCCCCCCCAGAAGTATGAAAACATATATCCTGGTGAAAATGAAACACACACCAGAAGATTACTGAAATTAAGTACTGTATAAAAACTACAAAAAGTTTATTGGCCTGGCCTTCTTTAATAGGACAATAACAAGACAAACTGTTTACAAGTTATCTTTTAAAATACCAACTTCTCATTTGCATGTATTCACTAAATCTGTCCTTTAAATAAAGTTATTGCAGTCTATTTTCCTCTTCATTAAGGGGAATTTATCTACTCAACTCCTCTTAATCCTAATGGAAGTCCTGGTGCACAACACACAAATTTAAAGGGAGGCTGCATATGTAAAAATCCCACGTGTACTGAGTTGAATAAAACAATAATTCAGATAATCTCACACAGCATGCTTAAAATGTGTGAGCATATAAATAAATAAAACAAAACAGTGTTATGGTAAATACTAAATGCAACCATGTTTCCTCAGACACTTTGTGGGAGAAAATATATCTATACTTCGTATAGAAGTTCCACGATACAGACACCTCGTCTGAATACATGAAAATATAAAGCTTCAATAATCAAGTGCATCCAAAGTAACTTCCCACCTTAATTTTAATTTATGGAACTTCAAATTAACAGTATTTAATGACATTTATTCATCTTCTCCTGAAGAAGTGAAAGCCTTGGAAAAGCAACCATCATTCAGCTCAACTGGGTTACCTCCTATACAATACTATCTACATGTAGTACTTAAATACAGAAGAACCTCAGAGTTAGGAACACCAGAGTTACAAACTGACCAGTTAACCTCACACTTTATTTGGAAACGGAAGTACCAGAGACAGCAGCAGAGGCCACAAAAAAAAAAAGAAGCAGCAGCAAATACAGTACAATATTGTGTTAAACGAAAACTACTAAAAAAATAAAGGGAAAGCAGCTTTTTTTTCTGCATAGTAAAGTTTCAAAACTGTATTAACTCAATGTTCAGTTGTAAATTACTGGAAGAACCACTACAATGTTTTGTTCAGAGTTACGAACAACCTCCATTCCCAAGGTGTTCGTAACTCTGAGGTTCTACTGTACATTTAAAAACAAATTCGTGGTAACTATGGAAAATCCACTTTAATGAAAGAAACCACATTCAATCATGTAAATCTGAGACTTTTTGTTCTGACATTTTATGCTTAGGAAGCACGTGAATAATTTTTCTACAATTCCAGGAATGTTTGTACTAAAATAGCACACAGTACAAAGTAAAACACTGGCCACTGTCACTTAAGCAATTAAGGTATATGACTGCCAACTTCACTTCAGCTGCCTCTTTTCAGCCTCTTTTACGCCTTTGATTCCCCTTCCATAGGCCATTACTATATGGATCAGCTACTAAGGAATGCATGAACCAAGGACAATACATATTGTCCCAATATTAAGTGGGATCAGATGTTCTAAGGTCAGACTTCTGTCCCTACTGCATAGAAATGCTACAAGCCATGCCAAGAAAAACTGACATTCACTTTAAGTGGCTGATAGAACGCCTTTTACTTAAGGCTTACTAAGATTTTCATGATTCTCAAAATAGTTTTGCTCCAACTATATTAATGTCTTTTGAATGAATTTCTATGACTAAATGCCACATTAAAACGTCATTTCTCAAATTTGTAAGGTAAATGTAAAAATAAAGTATTGTCAGGAGACATTTCTTCTGCGTGTGACTTTTAACACAGTATATTAAAGAACTGTTCTAAATACACAAGGATAGGAAAAGATTACGACTTCCAAATGACAGAGACAGAGAGGTTTTGGTTTCAATTGTCAAAATCAAGCAATTTCAATTCAAGATCCTCAAACTGTGTATATAACTAAGTTACATATGCAATGACTATTTACACTGACATTTTTTCAGTGGCTAGCCAGAGTTCAAGTGTCTACCCAAAGTGCTACTCTACAGCTAATTACATGGTTGGTGGTGGGTTGTTTTTTTTTTAAAAAATAAAGTTTAATCCATAAAAAGGACTGTGTTTATCTGAAACATTTAGTGAGTGTAAAATAACCAAAAAAACCACCCATTCCCGGTGTTGTACATTTGTTCACCAATCTTTAGATTATAGGCAGAAATTCTATCACCAATTTTGCAGCACAGAAAACTGAAAAGGGACACCACCTGAATTTAGTTCACGGACCAGGAAATATTAAGAGGTCACATTTTATAACAAAGCCCTATATCCTCTTTCAGTCCTTACTTGAGCAAAACCTTCATTGCAACCAACAGAAAATTCACCTGTGTAAAAACTTAGCTTATTCTCTAGGACTTAGGCCTTCGGATTTTATATATGCAAGTACTGCCTACAATGAAATAATCGCATTTTAAACATTTCTAAAATCTTTAAATGACATTGCAAAATGTGATTAAGAGTTGTGGGTATTCTAATCTTCAGAGTTTAGATAAGCAAAGAACATACTCCTTTTGATTAGTCTGATTTACTACTGCTTTTTCAGTAACATATTTAATCCTCCCATCCATAAAAACTGAGAAGATAAACACCACGCCACAGAAATTACATATTCATGCAATTAGCAAAAGAAAAAACCCACATCAAGTCAAGATAGTTACCTGTCATTACTTACCAAAGTTCTCTTCAGATTCTACAAGAAGGAAAGGATTCAATACATACTGCTGGACCATACTTAAGTGTACACATTTACTGTATAAATAATCCCAAGGCCAAAGTAGTTACTGTTAATTCAAGTAACCATCAACCCTACACAACATAAAACTGAAATGCCCACCTTCTCTAACGATGGCGATACTCTCGTTCTCTGTCACGTTCTCGATCACGATCTCTGTCACGATCACGATGTCTCTCTCGTTCACGGCTTCTTTCCCGGTAATAGTCATCATGGCGATCTCTGCTCCGGGACTTGTGACGCCTGCTTTTTTCTCTTGACCTGCTGTGGTCCCTCTCTCTTGACCGTTCACGTCTTCTAAAAGAAATTACTTCATTAATTTTTACTCAAAATACACACACAACACCAGAAAATTAAGATGTATTAAGCTCTGCCTAATAAAATGAAAATGCTCAAACAAGAATGTTGAGAACAAAACAAAATGACATGTTTGTTTTGATACAGAGATGCATGTGCGTATACTGCACAGAGGGGGTGAATCTGTTTATTTCAAGCAGCCACCAAATACTTAATAATGCAGACTTGGTATTCAGAGAATATTGAATATGTACCCTGCTCCCACTCTTCCAAATTAACCCATTTCTTCTTCACTTTTCAGGATTCCAGCAGCAGACCCAGCACAATATTATCTATTTCCTGGTCTTACCATTTGAAAAGATACGCTAGTACTGGGGACTGAAAGGAGAAAGGAAGAGGTAGAGAAAACTGAGGAGACGATGACAAGACAGCTGCTCATGGGAATGCATCCAACCTAAAATGGCTGCTGCAACTGTGGCAGCCATTTTAGGTATTGAAAGTTTGTGGGGACAGTGGTATTGAATTTGACTATGAATATCAGTACTGTATCTGGACTGACTACAAACTGAATATCTGTCCAAACTCCATATGGAGTTAATTCTAGAAGAAATATGAATATCTCCGGTTAGTATTGAGTGAAGCCTGATGGACTTCAATCGATAGAATCATAGACTTTAAAGGTCAGAAGGGACCATTACAATTGTCCAGTCCGACCCCCTGCACAACGCAGGCCCCAGAATCTCACCCACCCACTCCTGTAACAAACCCCTAACCTATATCTGAGCTACTGAAGTCCTCAAATCATGGTTTAAAGACCATGGTGCAGAGAATCCTCCAACAAGTGACCTATGCCCCACGCTGCAGAGAAAGGCGAAAAACCCCAGGGCCTCTGCCAGTCTGCCCCGGAGGAAAAATTCCTTCCTGACCCCAAATATAGCGATCAGTTAAACCCTGAGCATATGGGCAAGACTAACCAGCCAGACACCCAGGAAAGAATTCTCTGTAGTAACTCAGATCCCACCCCATCTAACATCCCATCACAGGCCATTGGGCCTATTTACCATGAATAGTTAAAGGTCAATTAATTGCCAAAATTATGTTATCCCATCATACCATCTCCTCCATAAACTTATCGAGTTTAATCTTGAAGCCAGATATGTCTTTTGCCCCCACTGCTTCCCTTAGAAGGCTGTTCCAGAACTTTACTCCTCTGATGGTTAGAAACCTTCGTCTAATTTCAAGTCTAAACTTCTTGACGGCCAGTTTATATCCATTTGTTCTTGTGTCCACATTGGTACTGAGCTTAAATAACTCTTCTCCCTCTCTGGTATTTATCCCTCTGATATATTTATAGAGAGCAATCGTATCTCCTCTCAGCCTTCTCTTGGTTAGGCTAAACAAGCCAAGCTCTTTGAGTCTCCTTTCATAAGACAGGTTTTTCCATGCCTCGGATCATCCTAGTAGTCCTTCTCTGTACCTGTTTCAGTTTGAATTCATCTTTCTTAAACATGGGAGACCAGAACTGCACACAGTATTCCAGGTGAGATCTCACCAGTGCCTTGTATAACGGTACTAACACCTCCTTATCTCTACTGGAAATAGCTCTTCTGATGCATCCCAAGACCGCATTAGCTTTTTTCACGGCAGTATCACATTGGCGGCTCATAGTCATCCTGGGATCAACTAATACTCCGAGGTCCATCTCCTCCTCTGTTACTTCCAAGTGATGCGTCCCCAGTTTAACACAAAAATTCTTGTTATTAATCCCTAAATCCATGACCTTGCACTTTTCACTATTAAATTCCATCCTATTCCTATTACTCCAGTTTACAAGGTCATCCAGATCTTCCTGTATGATATCCCAGTCCTTCTCTGTACTAGCAATACCTCCCAGCTTTGTGTCATCCACAAACTTTATTAGCACATTCCCTCTTTTTGTGCCAAGGTCAGTAATAAAAAGATTAAATAAGATTGGTCCCAAAACCGATCCCTAAGGAACTCCACTAGTAACCTCCTTCCAACCTGACAGTTCACCTTTCAGTGTGACCCAGTGTAGTCTCTCCTTTAACCAGTTCCTTATCCACCTTTCAATTTTCATACTGATCCCCATCTTTTCCAATTTCCGTAATAATTCTCCATGTGGAACCGTATCGAATGCCTTACTGAAATCGAGGTAAATTAGATCCACTGCGTTTCCTTTGTCTAAAAAATCTGTTACTTTCTCAAAGAAGGAGATCAGGTTGGTTTGGCACGATCTACCTTTTGTAAAACCATGTTGTATTTTGTCCCATTTACCATTGATCTCAATGTCCTTAACTTTCTCCTTCATATTTTTTTTCCAAGACCTTGCATACTACATATGTCAAACTAACAGGCCTGTAGTTACCCGGATCACTTTTTTTTCCCCCGCTTTCTTAAAAATAGGAACTATGTTAGCAATTCTCCAATCGTATGGTACAACCCCTGAGTTTACAGATTCATTAAAAATTTTTGCTAATGGGCTTGCAATTTTATGTGCTAGTTCCTTCAATATTCTTGGATGAAGATTATCTGCCCTCTCCCCCGCCCCGAGTTAGTCCCATTAAGCTGTTCAAGCTTGGCTTCTACCTCGGATGTGGTAATATCTACCTCCATAGCCTCCTTCCCATTTGTTGTCCTACATTATCCCTAAGCTCCTAACTAAAGATGGAGGAAAAGTATTTGTTTAGATATTGGGCCATGCCTAGATTATCCTTAACCTCCACTCCATTCTCAGTGTTTAGCAGTCCCACTTCTTTCTTTGTTTTCTTCTTATTTATATGGCTATAGAACCTTTTACTATTGGTTTTAGTTCCCTTTGCAAGATCCAACTCTACATGGATTTTGGCCTCTCTCACTTCTGACCTCAATAAGGCAGCTTTCCTTGCTGATCCCTCCCATCTTCTGCTCCTTGTAGGCTTTCTGCTTTTTCTTAATCATCTCTCTGAGATGCTTGCTCATCCAACTTGGTCTACAACTCCTGCCTATGAATTTTTTCCCCTTTCTTGGGATGCAGGTTTCTGATAGTTTCTGCAACTTTGACTTGAAGTAATTCCAGGCCTCCTCCACCTTTAGTTAGGGAAGTGGATTGGACTGAAGAACTTGTGGATCTAATTTTCTTAATTTTTTAAAAAAGTTAGCTCTTTTGAAATCAAAAACCCTCGTCACAGATCTATTTTCGTTTATCCTTCTATTTAGTTTGAACTGAATTAGCTCATGATCGCTCCAACCAAGGTTCTCCCCTACAACCATTTCTTCTAGGAGGTCCTCACTACTCACCAAAACCAAATCTAAAATGGCATCCCGCCTTGTTGGTTCAGCAACTACTTGGTGAAGGAATCCAACAGCTATCGCACCCAGGAAAATCTGAGCCCTATTATTATTACTAGCTCTTGTCCTCCAGTCTATATCTGGGAAGCTAAAGTCTCCCATGATCACACAATTCCCATTAGCATTTACTTCATTAAAAAGGGCTCTATCCAAATTAGATCCCGGAGGTCTATAGCACATCCCAAGCACTATCCCAGGGGAGACTCTAATAGTTTTCTTCCCAAATGTAATTTTTGCCCAGACGGACTCTGTCTTATCCATTCCATCGCTTCTTATTTCTTTACATTCAACCTCATCATTGATATACAATGCTACTCCACCACCTTTGCCTTTATTTCGGTCTTTCCTAAACAGCACATACCCCTCAATACCTGTAGTCCAGTCATGACTGCTATTCCACCATGTTTCTGTTATCCCTATAATATCTGGTTTCAATTCCTGCACCATTAGCTCTAGTTCCTCCATTTTGTTACCTAGGCTCCTCGCATTGGTGTACAAACATCTTAATTTTTGCTGTTTGGCCTCGCTCACATTCTTTACCCGATTAGGCACAGACATTCTTCTGCCAGTATCACCTATTAGACTGGTATGTATACTACCCTTCCTCCTTATGTCCATTCTCCTACCACGGCTGTATCCTCTCTTACTTCGTTTTCTTCCCTCTCAATGTTAAAATCCAGCGTGGAGATTACCTGGACATCTCCCAACCATCTCCCCCAAATTCCTAGTTTAAAGCTCTCTTGATAAGTTGTGCCATCCTCCATCCTAGAAGTCTATTTCCCTCCTTACTCAGGTGAAGTCCATCCCGAGAGAACAGTCCTCTATCCATAAATGCCTCCTAGTGGCCATACATCCCAAAGCCCTCCTTATAGCACCACTGCCTGAGCCATCTGTTGAGCATCATAATCTTGTCACATCTTTGTTGCCCTTCTCTAGGAACAGGCAGAATCCCACTGAAGAGCACCTGAGCCTCGATTTCCTTAAGTTTCTTTCCCAGCCTGGCATAGTTTCCCTTGATACGATCCAGCGAGAATCTAGCCGTATCATTTGTTCCCACAAGAAGGACAATCAGTGGATTCTTTCCCGCTCCCGTTAGGATCCTCTTCAGCCTCAGGTCCACATCCCGTATCTTAGCACCCAGCAGACAGCACACTCTTCTGTTCTCTGGATCAGCTCTTGTTACAAGCCTGTCTAGTCTTCTCAGTAACGAGTCCCCAATCACGTAGACCTGCCTTTTCCTGGCAATGGTGAGATTCTCCAATCTATCCCCTGTTCCCTCTGGCTGCAAGTCCTCTCGATTCCTATCGTCCCTTGCAATCTTCTGCAACCCACCCCGTATCCTGGGGTTCATATTTGATGTTATCTCCATTGACTATTGCCCTCTTCCTATAGGACTAGTTGCTCTTCTCTTCTTCCTTGCCCTCTCACATTCAGTGACCACCTGCTGTGCCCCTTCTTCATTTTCCAACTCCACAAACCTGTTCCTGAGCTCGGTTTCTCCTTCACTAGCCCATCTTTTCCTCTGCCTGGTTCTCTTAGTCACATGGTTCCACTGTCCACTTTCCTCACCCAGCAGTCTCCACTCACAGTTCTTTGGTCCTGCTTCCATCTGCAAGTCTGAGCTTTTCCCTTCAGCCGCCTCATGTCTTTGCTCCATCATCCGCTCAAACCCCCTTCTAAACTCAACCAGAGTTTCCTCCTGCATCTCCAATCCTCTGATCTTTTCTTCCCATCAGCTCTATCAGGCGGCACTTCATGCAGACGAAATTCTTTTCAGGTACCCCCTCCAGGATCACGTACATGCCGCAGCTTCTACATCAAGTCATCTTCATTGTGTCCTCCACTGCTTGGGTCATTACCACTGCTGCCTCTGTATCTGTCATAGCCGTCTCACCTAAGTCCTGTTAGTCTGGGGGAAACAAGCCAAACCAAACCACCACCACGCACAGCAAAACAAACCCTCAACGAGCACCAAAACACTGCCAGACCACCACACACTTCCTTCACTAGCCTGTCTGTTCCTTTGCCTGGCTCTCTTAGTCTTCCCCACAAACTCCCCTTACAAACTCCCACTCAAAGGCCTCTGTTTACAGTTCTGTTTGCTAGCTCCTGTGCCACTGCAGTTGACTGCCTCTCTCCCTCATGTCTTCTCTTAGTAGCCTCAACACAATTATAATAACAGAAGAACATTATCCAATTTTCTTGGCATTTAAAATTCATAATTATCTAGACAAGAATACAGATAACTATCATAAAAATGAAAACTGATTTCGTATAATTTATAAGAGTAATTTTAATAACTACATTCATAGTCATGATATATCAATCTGCTCATAAGTTTGTAATTAATTTTGTTTTGATGTTTACATGCTATTATTGCAGCATGTAAAGAAATATAATTCTAATTAAAATTAGATTTAAAATGAGGCTGCAGAGGTCAGTTTGGGGAGGAAAGATGGCCTTGTGTTTAGGACAATTGACTGGGTTTCAGGAGATCTAGGACCAATTTCTAGCTCTCCCACAGACTTCCTGTGTGACTTTACGCAAGTCACTTAATTACTCTGTGCCTCAGTTCCCCATCTGTAAAATGAGGATAAAATACCTTTCTCCTATCCTTTATAGGTCTTGTTTATTTAGAGTGCAGCTAGTGAATGAAACAGGAAAGCTTTACCTTGATCCAGAACCATAAGACTTGGACTCAATTCCATGAAGGCAATCCTGCAGAGAGCTAATAAGTACTTTACAACGATCATCAGCAGATACTTTGGATTGTTTAATTAAGGAAATAGCAGTTACTAAGGTCTCTATAGCACTTCCATAGTCCCCTGAAAAGAAGAAAGTAAATTTGATGTTAGTGGATTAAAGAGATTAAAATGTAATAAAAATCTCTCTGTAAAACTATTATCCTTTGACAGCTGGTCTTCTCTGCAACAGCTATTGAAGCCACTTCTGTGGACCAGCTACTAAAAACATGGTATATATTTGTACCCAGCAAGTGTCCATATAAATCTAATTTGAGCACAGTTCAAGTCAGTCACAAGAAATATCTACAATCAGGACGGCACTCTGATGTTTTTAAAAAAGAAAGAAAGAAAGAAATAGTGGATTCACATCTCCAAGATTTCCCTGGGGAAATTATATAAAATTGCTTTTAGTGGGATGGAACAGGAGGGACACTAAAGATTTACTGACCAGCACTGGCATCTGACACAGCTCTTGAAATGGCACTGCTTGAGATGGCCCTATTTCTATTCATGATTTCTTCAAACTCTGCTTCACTTAAAGGTGTTCTTGCAGCATCCATTTCTCTGCAATTAATAAAACTAAAGTTTAAAAAAGTAACCCAAAGCTTGTGAAGATAGCATTGCAGTTATCAACAACTCAAGTCTGCAACTTTAAGCAAAGTGACAAACAGGACAGAAAGCAGGTTTTTGGTTTTTTTGTTTGTTTTTGTTTTAAAAAAAGTTTTGTGGTACAAAACTTGCAGGCAAAAAAAGTACAATACCATTAAAACATCTGCTGTGTAAACGTGCTTAAATTATCTTTGATCATCCTTTTATACTGAAGATTTAGAAGCAGTTATATTGTGCTTTCCATCTTCAAAATGCTTTACAAAATTTTAACTAATCTTCACAACATCCCTATAACACCAGCAGGTATTATCCCTATTGTATAGATGGGGAAACTGAGGCAGGGGACTCCGGTGATTTGCCCACAGTCAGAGATGGAATTTATATCAAAAATGGGATTAGAACTTATAAATTCCTGGCTCCCAGTCCCCTGCTCTAACTATCACATCAGGACTTTAAGTTATGCAGCAGATGAAGTAAATATGGTCTAGCACTATTAATGCTCCACCTCCTGAATAACATTTCAAAGATTTTATTTCTGCTTTAATTTCCAATATTTTTCTGGTCAAGTTCAAGGGTGCTCCAATTTACTGTTTTAACAAGAAATTTTAAGGAGAAAGTGTCAAGCTTACACTTAGGGTAGTAAAAGGGAATTCTAGTATTCTCGCTGAATGCTGTAAATAATATTTTATTGATCACATGTATTTGGTTTCCATAGAAATGGAAATTAACCTATACAAAATGGGGATAAAAAATTTCCCATCCAATTCTGCAGTGTTCTATCAGCCAGTCTCTGTTATACAGAGTATCTGTAGGATGATGTTAATGAGACTGTTAAACTGGCTCACTGCTGGATAATATTACTAAAATAGTGTTAGTTATTCTGGTAGAAAGAAAATGCAGAATGATAAGCAATGCTATCCTCTTAAGAGCAAGAAGTGGAACAAGATCCTATAGCCAGTTTAGCATAAGAGGAAATGTCTAAAAATTCATACCTCCCTGCGTTTTGAGTATTATTTTTCGTATGCCTCCAATACAATGGAATATGTAATTGTTCTCTTATGGACATGTTATTTCCAGTGAAACGCCTATGATATATAATTAATGACAATTTAAATAGTTATGGATTGTAATTTTGAAATTATTATAATGAAAATATTGGACAGCAAGTGCAGTGGTTCTGTCCTGTTCTCCCACCCTTTTCCTCCCCCATCCTTCTACAAACTGTGGACAACCTCAATCTTGGATACCAGAAAAGACCTGGTGTTTATTATGATTATATATAAAGGTAATTATATCAAATGCTCTAAATTTCCATACAATTCTATATGAACATTACATTTATAAATAATTGATTTTTACTTTTGAATTCCATAATGGGAAGAACCAGAACCAATGTCCAAACAGAAACAGAAAAAAAAAATATTAAAAGGACAGAATACGCATGTCTTCCTCACACTGGAAGCATGACCAATATAACTCATAAGATCTACATGTAAATACAATAAAACTTCATTTTGTACGGTGCCTTTCTTACATACTGTCCCCAAATGCTTTACAGAGTTTAACACAAGTACAATGAATAAACAAACAACAGTGGAGGTATAAAGAAACTAAGGGGTATTGGCAAAGGAGAAGAGATATTTCAGATAAGATTTGAGAATCATGAAGGCTATTCCAGATAGCAGGAGTTGAAAAGAAGGATTTGCACCACCTATAGCAAGATTGGTACTAGATAAACAGATGGAGGTGGGAGAGAAAAAGGTAAAGAGGCAGAGAAAATCCATGGAGGATTTTTGTGACAAGGATACTGATCCTGACAAGAATGGGGGCCAGTGGCACTGCATGAAGATGAGGGCGATACAGTTATGGTTCTTTGTACTACACTGTTCTTACAAATACTGCACTATATAAATGTTAAGAAAAAGGACAGCAGCATTTTGCACAGCATGGAGTCTGCAGAGCTGGGTGGGACTTGGAAAGGCCATGAGAAGACAGTTGCCAAACAGTCAGAGTAAAAGAAGATGAAGGTGAAGATTTCTAGAGGCAGAGCTGCGGCAAAAGCATAAATAAACCACTGCAGAGGTAATGCCAGATAGAAATAGAAAATGTTGGAGGTCAGTAATGACACCAAAATTACAAAAAGTGAAGGTAGACAGAGGTCTGAGTTAAAGAGGGGAAAAAGACGACGAGATGGACACTGCATCTGAGGATGCTTCCACACCTAGAAAAACACTGACAGATGTTTTAGTGAAGAAAGTGGAAAAGAAGCTACTTAAAAGCCAAAAAGAATCTGATGTCTCCTACATGGAATAAATGTGCTACGAAGTACACTACACTAAAAGCACTCACCTGCCAGGTGGACCATAGTCACCCCTGTCATAAGGTGGAGGTCGGCCATATGGATCTGTTGGTGGTGGACCACGACTGTCTGAAGTAGGTATGCCACTATTGGCTGGTGGGGGGAAGAAAGCTGGATTCACGTGTGGAGCAGGTGGGGGAGCACCTGGAGGTGGCCCAGGAAGATGTGGAGGAGGAGCAAGTGTCAGGGGAGGCCCAAGTGGACCAGGTGGACGAGGGGGAAAAGGACCGGGAGGCGGAGGTGGACCCTGCTGTGGTGGTGGTGGACCTGGAGGGGGGCCATAGCCTGGAACTGGAGGTGGAGGGCCAGGAGGAAGTGGACCCAGTGGAGGCTGACCAAAGGGTTGTCCAGGAAACAGAACTGGTGGTGGTGGACGGTCACCACGATTAGGAGGCCCAGCTAATGGAGGAGGAAGAACTTGACCAGGAGGTGGAGGACCTGGTGGTCCGGGGGGACCTGGAGGACCTAGAGGTGGACGTGGTGGAGTTTGTCCAGCTGAAAGAAAAATGGGAAAATAAAGTTATTTCCATAATTAGATCATTTTAACTAAATTTTTGCAAGTCTCACTGAACAATTTTGATGTGCATGAGACATTATGCATACCCAACTTTGGAAAAAGCAAATCATCATTTGATAAAGTTCAAACAAGTACTTGACTTCGAGATGTGTTGCTCATGTCCACTCCATGTTAGGTGTGCATGTGCCGCATACACCATTGCTGGAGATTTTTCCCTCAGTGGTATCCGGTGGGCTCATTCAAACGCCCTCAAAAGTCACGAGCTTGTGTGTCGGTATCAGGGGTGCCACCAAGCACATCCCTCTGAGTTCCGTCTTGCAGGTTAACTCCAACAGAGGGATAAGGGGGTGGATCATGGAATGGATATGAGCAACACATCCTGAACAACAGTTACGAAAGGTTAGTAACCATTTTTTTCTTTTAGTGCTCGCTCATGTCCATTTCATGTTAGATGACTCACAAACAGTACCCAAGGAGGTGGGCTCGGAGTTCACGGACATACTGACTGCAACACTGCTGTTCCAAAACTATCATCACCTCAGGCCCGTTGGGTGATGGTGTAGTGGGATACAAAGGTATGCATCGACAAGCAGGTTGCATCTCTGCAGATGTCCTGGATTGGGACCTGCACGAGAAATGCTACTTACAAGGCCTTGGCTCTTGTGGAGTGAGCGGTTAAGGTGGCCAGAGCAAGCCCAAATACAGGTGGTTATACAGGATGAGATCCTCTGAGCTGACACAGGAAGCTCTCTCATCCTTTCCGCTATTGCAATAGAGTTGTGTGGACTTGTAAAAGGGTTTAGTCCCCTCATCATAAAAAGTGAGGACACATCTAATATCCAACAAGTGAAGCTGCCATTCCTCAGAGTTCTTGTGAAGTTTCGGGAAGATGACCGGTAGGAAAATGGCTTGGTTGTTATGGAATTGTGACACTACCTTTGGTAGGAAGGTTGGATGGGAGCGCAGTTGGACCTTGTCCTTAAAGAACACCGCATAAGGCAGTTCCAATGTAAAAGGCCTTGATTTCAGAGATCCCTCTCGCCAAGGTGATTGCCATCAGGAAGGCGACCTTCCAAGAGAGAAGTAGCAGGGGGCATGATGCTAAAAGAGCAAAAGGGGGGAAGGGGGGGGGAGAGAAAAACTGAGTCTTGACAGAACCAGGTTTAAGTCCCAGGGGGATGGAGGGGGGTGGTTCAGGGCTGAGGCTAGAGCCTCTCCAGCCCCTGGATAAACAGTACTGTCATTTTGTGAGAGAACGATGACCTGCTGTTCACTGGAGGGTAGAAGGCTGAGATGGCTGCTAAGTTCACCCTGATAGACACGAGGGCCAGGTCCTGCTCCATTATGTGGAACAAACAGTCCAAGACAGATTGGAGGGAAGATCGAGATGGAGAGAGCACACCCTGAGAAGCCCAAATGGAGACGCGCATCCATTTGGCCAGGTTGGTAGCCCTGGTGAAAGGCTTTTTACTATCCAGCAAGATCTGCCGGACCTGTTCCAAGCAAGCCTGTTTTTCTGGGTTCAGCCATGCAGCATTCATGCAGTTCGGTGCAGGCAGGTGAGGTATGGATGAAGCAACCATCCGTGGTTTTCTGAAATTAGGTCCAGATGGAGTGGGAGTGGAGTTGCTACCGACAGATCCAGGAGCATGCCAAACCAGTGCTGATGTGACCACACCGGACTATCAGAATAACACTCACCTTGTCCCGTTTGATTTTTAGGAGGACCTTGTGAACCATGGGGATCGGAGGAAAGGCATAAAGTAGATCTGGCCACAGGATATGGAAAAAGCAAATGTACTCAGTGCTTTTTTGCCTTTGTCTTCAAGAACAAGGTCAGCTCCCAGACTACTGCACTGGGCAGCACAGCATGGGGAGGAGGTGACCAGGCCTCTGTGGAGAAAGAAGTGGTTCGGGATTATTTAGAAAAGCTGGATGTGCACAAGTCCATGGGGCCGGACGCGCTGCATCCGAGAGTGCTAAAGGAGTTGGTGGATGTGATTGCAGAGCCATTGGTCATTCTCTTTGAAAACTCATGGCAATCCAGGGAAGTCCCGGACGACTGGAAAAAGACTAATGTAGTGCCCATCTTTAAAAAAGGGAAGGAGGAGGATCCTGGGAACTACAGGCCAGTCAGCCTCACCTCAGTCCCTGGAAAAATCAAGGAGCAGGTCCTCAAGGAATCAATTCTGAAGCACTTAGAGGAGAGGAAAGTGATCAGGAACAGTCAGCATGGATTCACCAAGGCAAGTCACGCCTGACTAATCTAATTGCCTTCTATGACGAGATAACTGGTTCTGTGGATGAAGGGAAAGCAGTGGACGTGTTGTTCCTTGACTTTAGCAAAGCTTTTGACACAGTCTCCCACAGTATTCTTGCCAGCAAGTTAAAGAAGTATGAGCTGGATGAATGGACTATAAGGTGGGTAGAAAATTGGCTAGATTGTCGGGCTCAACGGGTAGTGATCAATGGCTCTATGTCTAGTTGGCAGCCAGTATCAAGCGGAGTGCCCCAAGGGTCGGTCCTGGGGCCGGTTTTGTTCAATATCTTCATTAATGATCTGGAGGATGGTGTGGATTGCACCCTCAGCAAGTTTGCAGACGACACTAAACTGGGAGGAGGGGTAGATACGATGGAGGGTAGGGATAGGATACAGAGGGACCTAGACAAATTGGAGGACTGGGCCAAAAGAAATCTGATGAGGTTCAACAAGGACAAGTGCAGAGTCCTGCACTTAGGAAGGAAGAATCCCAGGCACCGCTACAGACTAGGGACTGAATGGCTAGGCAGCAGTTCTGCAGAAAAGGACCTAGGGGTTACAGTGGACGAGAAGCTGGATATGAGTCAACAGTGTGCCCTTGTAGGCAAGAAGGCCAATGGCATTTTGGGATGTATAAGTAGGGGCATAGCCAGCAGATCGAGGGACATGATCATTCCCCTCTATTCGACATTGGTGAGGTCTCATCTGGAGTACTGTGTCCAGTTTTGGGCCCCACACTACAAGAAGGATGTGGAGAAATTGGAGAGAGTCCAGCAGAGGGCAACAAAAATTATTAGGGGACTGGAACACATGACTTACGAGGAGAGGCTGAGGGAACTGGGACTGTTTAGTCTACAGAAGAGAAGAATGAAGGGAGATTGGATAGCTGCTTTCAACTACCTGAAAGGTGGTTCCAAAGAGGATGGATCTAGACTATTCTCAGTGGTAGCGGATGACAGAACAAGTAGTAATGGTCTCAAGTTGCAGTGGGGGAGATTTAGGTTGGATATTAGGAAAAACTTTTTCACTAGGAGGGTGGTGAAACACTGGAATGCGTTACCTAGGGAGGTGGTGGAATCTCCTTCCTTAAAAGTTTTTAAGGTCAGGCTTGACAAAGCCCTGGCTGGGATGATTTAATTGGGGATCGGTCCTGCTTTGAGCAGGGGGTTGGACTGGATGACCTCCTGAGGTCCCTTCCAACCCTGACATTCTATGATTCTATGAAAGTGTCGGAGAGGTATCCTGGGGCTGTGCCTGGTCAGGGAACAAAACTGATGGCACTTCCTGTTCTACCTGGTAGTGAACAGGTCCACCTAGGGAGCTCCCATCTTTGGAAGATTAACCTGATGATCTCTAGGTGAAGGGATCACTTGTGAGAGAAAAAGGATCTGCTGAAGGGATCCGCCAGTACATTCCAGGCTCCAGGGAGATGTGACACCTAGAGATGAATAGAGTGCTTTGTGCAGAAGTCCCACAAACAGATGGCCTCCTGACACAGGGCCGAAGATCAGGCCCCTCCCTGTTTACTGATACAGAACGTGGCTGCAGTACTATCTGTCAGGACTTGCAGCAGCTCATCTGAGATCTGTGGAAGGAATACTTGGCATGCTAAGCATACCGCCCTGATGTTTACATGCAGGGAGAGTTCTTCTTGGGACCAGAGGCCCTGAGTTCTCAGGTTGTTGTGGTGGGCTCTCTACCCTAGGTCTGACACATCCAAGACTAAAGCTACCGACTATTGAGGAGTAACAAAGGGAACCCCCATCATTACCCATTTCCACCAGTCCAGGGAGGCGAGGACCACGAGAGGGACTGTGAGCACTGAGTCCAAGTGGTGTCTGCTCGGGGAGCATACTGATGTTAGCCACATACGAAGGGATCTGAGGTGCAGCCTTGCGTGCTGGACCAAGTGTACATGCAGCCATGCGTCCCAATAGCTTGAGGCAAGCCTGAGCAGTCATGATTGGGTGGACCATGACACTGGGTATCAGGTCTGATATGGTCTGGAATCCGGTTTGGGCAGGAAACCCCTGGCTTGGGTTGAGTCGAGAACTGCCTCAATAAATTCTATTCTCGGAACCAGGACAAAAGTTGACTTCTGCTCATTTATCAGCAGGCCCGGTGGCTCGGACCAAACTGATGCTGTTCTGTAAGTGAGCCTGCAACCTTGATTAGCCAGTTGTTGAGGTTCGGGTAGACCTGGAGGCCTCGCCATCTGAAGAAGGCTGCTACTACCGCCATACACTTCTTGAAAACCCGGAGGGCAATTATTAGTGGTGTTGACCCACTATAAACCTAATAAATCTTCTGTGAACATGGAAGATAGAAATGTGAAAGTATATGTTCTTTAAGTCAAGGGCAATGTACCAACCATATGGATCCAGGGAGAGAATGATGGAGGCCAGGGAAACCATGCATAACCTCAGTTTCTTGAGATATCTGTTGAGGCGATGCAGGTCCAAGATGGGCCAGAAGTCCACTTTGGCCTTTGGCATTAGGCAATACCAGGAGTAAAACCCCTTCCCTCTCAAGTCTTGTGAAACCTCCTTCCTTCACAACCCCCATTCGCAGGATGGACTGTACCTCCTAGATGAGGAGTTGCTCATGTACTCAGCACCCAGGAGTCCAATGTTATGTATGACCATGCTAGGCTGAAGAGGGACAGAGGTCCAAAAACAATAAAGGGGAAGCAGATCTGAAATGGTGACTGATACAGCGCCCTCGGGCACACCTTTAAAAGGCTTGGTTGGGCCCTCCGGAGTACCTCTGAAAACCCAAGTGAGAGGCTGAAGATGGACTGGAGTTTTTCACCTCTCCCTTTTCTTTGAAAGGTCTCTTGTCTTGGAGGCACTGAGAACTGACGTGGCTGCTGGGGCCTGAAGTGCTCCTTGGAAGCTGACAGAAAGCAAAGGCCTAAGGATCACAGGGTGGCCCTTGAGTCCTTCAGGCGATGAAGTCTCGTGTCAGACAACTCCCAGAAAAGAGAAGCTTTTGAATGGGAGGTCTTGAGGTCTAACAGTCTATTCATGAGGAAGCCTGGAGGACTGGAGTCAAGAACCATGTCTGATAGTGACAAGCAGAGGCCATTGTCCTGGCTGCAGAGTCGGCAGCATCCAGAGCCACCTGGAGAGAGGTCCTGGCCATGTTCCTAACCTCCTCCATGAGAGCAGTGAACTCCTGCCTTGAATCTTGGGGCACGGATTCCTTAAATTTAGCCAAGGAGTCCCATAGATTATAAATGTATCTCCCCAGCAAAGCTTGCTGATTGGAGATATGTAGTTAAAGGTTACCCGTCAAATAAATCTTTCTTCCCAAAAGGTTCAGTCTCTTAGCATCTTTTTGTTTGGGGGTTGCACTTGACTGGCTTTGTCCCTCTCATTTGCTGCAGACACCACCAGGGACCAGGAGTCTAGTGCAAATACAAGTATCTGAACCCCCCTCACTGGCACATAATACTTTGTCCTCTGAGGTGGGGGGCAGAGAAGGAGTTTGCAACAGGACCTTGACCAGTCCCATCACCAATTCATTGATGGGTAAGGCCACCTTTAAGGGAGCTGCTGCAGCCAGGATACCAATAAGGTTGTGTGATGTCTCTTTGAGCTGCTCAGTTTCAAGACCCAGGTTTGCAGCTACCCACTTCAGAAGGTCCTGATGGGTCCTGAAATCATCATGCGGAAGCAGGCTACGGGGTCCCATGACAACCTTGTCTGGGGAGGAGGAGGCGGCTTGCACCGGAGGATGGGCTCCTTCCTCTTCCTCAACTACATCTGGAGCCATTTCCTGAATGTCGGTACTGAAGTCGGGGTCCGGTGCCAAGTGGGAAGGAGCAGCAGCCCGTCTCTCAGAAACCACCGAAGAGCAATGGGAGGGAGGAGCTGGTACCAACGGAAACCCCCAGGGGTTCCAGTAAGGCCACTGCATAGGCCAGTGACCTGCTGGCCAGGTGCAAACAGGGGGACCAGCACCAAAGTCCGGTGGCACATAGGCTAGGTACCGGTGATTGGCTTTAGGTTGGACGTACGGCTCCTCTTTAGACTCAGAAGAGGAGTCTTCTCTCAGAGACCCTGGTGGAGCAGTACTCGCTTCTGCCTCCATGTGGTGCCAGAATTCTGGGGACCAGCAGTGGACCGAAAGTAATCGGGATGACGAGATTAGGGACAGTTTACCCCTAGAAGGTGCTGGGCAGCAGCCTGATGCTCCTTGTTCTCTCCTGCTTCTGGTCACCAGAGCCGATAGGTATCCCCCTAGAGTTCGAGGGACTGGGAGCGAAAGTAAGTCCCTAGCCACTTGGAACCCCTCCTGGGACAATGGAACAGTCAGATCACTGGTACTACGGTGGCTTCTGCGTGTCAGGTCCTGCACTGGACTCAACGCTCTAGGCAGAGTTGACAGTGCCACCACGGGCCCAGGAGTGGAAGAGTGGCCCAGCACAGATCTCACTGTGCTACCTTCTCCCTGCTTGTATTTGTTCTGCACTGGCGAGTGCCCTCTGTCGGAGAGTTGCTTTTAGTCCTTCTTCTTCAGAACTGGAGATGATGAATGCCCCTGGGAAGAGCTCGGGGGAGGCTTTTGCACCAACGCCGAAGTGCATAGCGCCAAAGTGGAGCAGCTCTGCTCCGAGGTTAGTCTGAAAGTGGCTTCCATGAGGACATCCTAATGTCTCTGTCTTTTTAGCGCAGAGTAGTCCTGACAAATCTGGCAACTGTCTTTCACATGAGTCTCCCCCAAGCACTTCAAGCAGTTGGAGTACAGGTCACTCACAGGCATAGGTTAGCCACAGGAGGCACAAGGCTTGAAGCCTGGGGCATGCCCAGCCCCTGGGGCAAAGGAGGCCATCGATGACAGGAACTATCTATTTAGGCTATGTACACTAACACTAATTACAAAAACTATATATACACACACTGAATTATCATAACTAAGAAAGAAGTTAGAGTCCAAAAATCACAGGGAAGGCGGCCTTGCTGGAGCAAGAGGAGTCGTTCCAGCAACCGTCACAAGTGGTAAGAAGGGACAGAGGGTGCGTGGCAGCAGTGCCCCTTATACTGGCATATAAGCAGGCAGCTACAGAGGGCACTAGGGCCGGCCCTAAAGGATACCGAGGGTAAAATCTCTGGCAATGGTGCATGCAATGTGCACACACCTAACACGGAAAGCACATGAGCAAGCACTCGAAGAACACCACAGCTACACTGTGCTGCTAATACAATCGCTCTGCTGCTGCTTGAGTGTTGCTTTGCAATTATTGCTCTCACTCAAACTAGGCTAACCGGACATCTTGAACTCAACGTATCAGCGAAGACAAGCCTGCTCAGAGTGGTGAGCCAGTGTAACTATTGTTTTAAAATATACATTGTGATACTAAACAAAATTATCACTTTAATGATTTTTGTTATAATATTATCAAGTTTGTTTATACTCATGCTCCCACTTCTGATATCAAAGGGGCGTTTTCAGGCTCCAGAGAAGTTGGATTTCCTTATGCTGAACACTGACACAGAGCTCCCATAGAATCCTACATTCCGGTGACATAGTAAAGACATATTGTAAACAAGTCCAATTCCCTGGGTCTCCGTAATTCCCAAAACAAATTAGAAAGTGTGCTATATTAATATTTGGCTATATTAAAAACTGAAAGTGGTGAGCTCGGAAATTAAACATCGGTTTTAGTGTCTTTACCTGGGAAAGGAGGTGGTGGTCCTCCTGGTCCTGCAGGTCCAGGAAATCTGTCCCCACCTGGTATGCCACCTGGAAAACGGCCTCGTCCTCTGTTATTTGGTGGAAACGCTGCACGTGAGCCACCTCCTGGAGGACCGGCTTTACCTTCTCCAGACATCTGGCCTGATTGTGTAGCTGCAATGGGGAAGCAAAAGTATATCATCATTCCATAACATTAAGATTTGGGGTTTCCCCCCCCCCAATTCGTGACAGAGCGAGTTCATTTTTGTTTTGTTTTTTTGAGGTGAGGGGGTAGCATTGCTGTGTGCTCTTCAATAGTTACTGCAGCAATGCTGAGTACTAACCCTTCGTATTTATGTAGAACTTGTCATGCACCGTTCTCAAAGTGCTTTATAAAGCATCCTTCTCCCTATTTTAAGGGCTAGGGAAACAGAGTCATGGAGAAGTTAAGTGACTAGTCCAAATTCTTTCAGCAAATCAGTAGAAGGAGTTGGCAACTGTATTTCAATCTCTTAACCATCTGTCCCATGCTCAGGCCACTAAACCAAAGATTCCTAAATGTGGTCTGCAGACAACTAGAGGTCCACAGACAAAGAAGTGGATGATCACATGGTGCTATTCTTATGTCTAGCTGCTTCTACAACAGATATCTACACTCTCCATTAAACAGATAAAAAGGGAAGGGGGGAGGGGGAGGGTGAGAGAGAGAGCGAGCGCCTGGAAGCCTGGAAACATGGAGGCGCCTGCCGAACTAACTCTTTTAGGGACTCGCTGCTACATAATAAAGGAGAAGAGAAAACAGAAGCCATTCTCTGGGCCAGAGCCACAAGTGAATTTGAGCTGTCAGCCACCAGTGAGAGGCATGTCCAGACCAGAAGACCAGGGAGTGAATCATACCTGTTTTTATTCTGCCTCTATGCTTGGTTCCTTTTTCCCTTTCTTCCTGCATGTGCAGAAGGGAACCAAGCATAGAATCTGAATAAAAAGTACAATACAAAAAAGTTCATTCATATTTTTACTCACATCAGAAGTTCATTGATAATTTTTTATAATTTCGTTACATGTAAAAATGTGTTTGCCATTGTGCAGTTTTTATTTCTTGATAATTTCCATCCTTTCAAAAGGAGTGAAGTGGATATAATGGGTCAAATCCTTGCCCCTGCTCTGGTTGCATTACATTGGTCCACCAGAACAAAGCCCCAGCAAAGCTCACTTATTCAAGAATTCCCCTGGTGTGATCAGACTGGCATAGCCAGCCGCACATCAAACCTTCTTTCCCTTCCATTTTCCATCATAGGGAGTTCAGCTGAGGAAAGGGGTTTGGCTAGAACAAAGAAGTATTTCATGCTATGGAAGAGACCCTTGGGTTCACTGCATTCAGAAGCCAGTTATAGTAGCCCTCAGACAGCTCAAAGCTATGCCATGGCCCAACTGCTGTGCGAAGGACAGAGCAGTGACATCCATCTCATTCCAGGTCCTGCAACAAGCAGAGCTCAGTCAGATATCAGAATCTAGTCCATTTTGTCTTCAAATGTCCAAGTTGTTAATGTATTCATTTTGTTCAATATGGTTGTATGAATGTTTTCACGCACATAGTATTTTTCGAAGAACTATAGGGAAAAGATCCCTAAAGGTATTAGCCCCAGACATCTTTTGACAAGTTTCTCTAACCGTAAACATTTCATAACTATTTGGAGCCATACACATTATCATGGGCTGAGTGCCCACTGCAATACCTTTCCTGAAATGGACCTTTGTTTTTTAAAGTTACGATGCAACTAAGAAGAGAAAACTTACTTTTCCTTGACTGCATTTCAAACTGACTCAGGAACTGCTTATTGCATGGAGTTACAACAGGATTTTGCCCATGCAGTTCTCTTTTAGGCAAGAGATCCATCAACTTTTTGGAGGATGCTTCAGATCCCACACCTACAAGGGCAAACCTAAAAAGAAGGGGGGGAAGCTGCATCAACTTCTTGCACCAGAAAAATCTGATGGCCTTCCAGAGAAAGGATAAATACAGGATAAGCAAAAGAACATTTGACAAAAAACCTCCCCACAAACTTGGTTAATTCAGTCTTAAAGATACTTAAAAAATCATAACGCAAACTCTAAAGATATGAGAAAAGAATGATAAAATGTAAATATGAACATGAGAATTACAATTTTCTCACCATTCAATTTGAAATGCCCGTTTAGCTGGCATGTCCACAAAATTACAACCCTTTACTTCAATTTCCAATTTTTGAACACATTTCTAGTAACTAAAAAGCCTCACTGAGGAAAGAATCACTGCAAAGATAAACTTAAATGGATTAAGGAAAGTTGTCTCTCTCATAGAGACTTTCAAAGCAGCTCAAAGGTAAAGAATGAATATTTCCTCCTCTACAAATTAGGATTTCTTAAGGAAACTTATTTTAGGCTTTAGATAACTAAACTAGACTATAACAAGCTAATTCAAATTTAGTCAAGCTTAAAAGGATTTTTTTTTTTTTAAAAAAATCCATATTTTACCGAAGGATGTGATCTTCCACCATTGAGCTGTATTTGATAAAACTGGCATAAGGCAACTGATTCTTCTTTTCTATTATAAATGAATCAAAACTGCATTCTGAATGTTGGTTGGTTGGGTTTTTTTTGTGAGAAATAAACTAACCAATATACACACACACACACACCCCTCCCGCATGGGGTGGGGTGGCGGGGGGTTAATCTGGCACTCATGAAGACCTTAAATCAAATATAGTTTAAATCACAATTGAAATAGTCCGTTTGTCCATATCACAAAATTCACACAATTGACAATTTATAGTAAACAAAAAACCATTTACTGGATTCTGAGAGGTGTTATTAGTAGGGACTGAGAGGCACTGGCAGAGCTATGCAAAATAAAAATGGAGAAATAAAAGGCTAACAAATCAAGTTTTGAAAAAGGGATTTGACAAAAGGCAGAATAAGAAGGCATTCACACTGATGAGAGGTTAAAAAAATTAAAGAGTAAACCGTCTGAAATTTAGGAAAATGAATGTATAAGGAATGTCAATATCGCAATCCTATTCAGGGAGTAGTGAAACCTATAGTATTGTCTTTATAGCTTATTTCTGCGATTGAATTAGTAGTCAATGTGAAACAATAGGGTACAAAACCCTTGCTAGAAGTTAGCTGTCCAACAAAAGTAAACATCTCATTGCTAGCTGTGGAAAACACGGACCACTCACCCTCACTGTAGCAGATCAATGACCAACAGCAGAAAACGTGGATTACAAATTCTTACCCCTTTGACTGGCCATTAGCACGGTTTTCAAAAAATTTTATCTCCAAAATATCATTTACTCCCAGTGAATGCACTGCTTCAGTTAAGTCTTCATCTGTTGTCCACTGCAAAATATTTTTATATTCAAATGTCAAAACACATTAAGATGCCAATTTTCACTATGAATACAGCAGTCTAATCCTGTATGTTTGTACTATTGCTTTTTACTTTATTGTGAAAATGATCCAGTACATCTCACTGGATGTTTTCTGTGGTGGTTTGTAGCAAGTATTTTAAGTGACACTTTACAGTTACTTCTCAAAAAGATCATTGCTAAAATATATGAACAGACAAATGATGTGTAATACAACACATATGGCACTAACAGCACCTGACATGATGTATTACTACCCTTACTACATAATGCATGATCTTAAAGAAAGCTATGTTTGAAGAAGTTTTGTTTTTATGAAAAACAAAAGCATACTTTCAAGGCTGCAAGGCTTAATCTGACCAATTTCAGTAGTCACTTTTGTTTGTTTGATACCTCAAGGATTGCAATTTTTTCCTATTTAAAACAGATTACTACTCAGTTTCTATTAGCCCAAAATCTTACATCTCTGAACAAGGTCAAATTTCGAGACCATTTCAATAGTGTGCTTTACTTTCAGATGTGTTAGCACGCTTGTACCCCTTATCCATGGCGCTCTACACTAGTGCCAAAACTGGCCCAAGTGAAATTTAATTTACTAAAATCCCAAACCATGAACTGCTGGTTTTTTTAAGCTTTAGACAGCAAGATTCTTAGTAGTATTGTTTTACTTACTGATGGCAGAGGAAAAAAACAGAAAAAGAGTAAAAAAAAGCAGAGTTTATCAGCCACTTCAGTGGCCCATGGATACGTGACATCCATCAACATCTGACTGTGCTATAAGCAAACGTCTAAGTCGAACATTATCCATTTCTGAAGTTAAACCCTTTCACCCTGATCATAAGTATGTACTGGTACTAAAGGAGCTGGCGTAAGAAGAAAACCTTTAACTCCAGAACCCCCCTAAATTTCAGGAGAGAGGGGAAACTGGGTATGCAAGTTTTAAAATTCCCTATATACCATTCCCCCCACCCATACCAGCTTGAGTATACATTGCTGAATCTCATGTCACTTAAAAAAGTGAAATTTGACAATCCTTAAAAAGGTAAACACAAAATTTTGTAGATAGTTCTGTTTAAGATGCCACGTCAGTAGTAACGATACAGATTTAAAAGTTACATATGGACTTTCAAAACATTCAGCATTGGCCAATTGGCCATTGACTTCAATGGAAGCACTGTGTTTTGAAAATCCAATCTCTAGAAATAAGTTTTTAAATGAAGTGTTTGATAAATCAGTATCTCCTTTACTTTACTTACCTGGAAAGTGCCTGAAATCAGGATACTGCAACACTTAACGACATCAAACACTTAAAGTATGAAGCATTTTCCTGCATGTTTGGTACTAGTATAGGTTTTAGCAGAGGAAGCAACCATGAACTCAGAATTTTGCATGGAAGGGGGTGAGAAAATGGTTTTCAGATTAACTGTCACAGTAAAGGCTAATTAGTTCAGCTACTGATTTAGCATTTTACACATTTTTATTTTTAAAAAGCATACTGAAGGTCAACAATATGTATTTCCCCGGTTGTATTTTGGTTCCTAGATCTGCAGTACCTGAAAATACTCTTAAAACAGAGGCTTGGAACAGTTTTGCCTGGGAAGTCACTGCAAGTCACAGTCTTTGAGGATTAATTCTCAAAAAAACCTCGAAGAACATTACAGTTCTCTTTTAAAAGTAAAAGCTTCAACAACGGATTATTCAAAATAGATCAGTTTATAGGCATAAGGCACTAGGATAGTAATAAATTTATTCTGTTACTTCTCTTCGGAGTTTCCCCAAAGCCCTAATAGGGTGGCAAACTTACCATGCTTTCCCAGAAAGCTTCCCCTTTCACCTTTAATTTATTCTACAAGACACAACTGAACGTTTATATTGTAAATATCCTCCATTTTAATGAACATCTCAAAACTATATTCTTCCCCCAAGATTTTCACTAAAATGCTCAGAAAACCTGCTTCTCTGTTTGCTGATGGAAGTAGGACTGAGGAATTCTATAGGGGGACTGGGTGAGGAAAGTGGTCAGTGGAAGCATGTGACTAAAAGGAAGAGGAAAAGACGGGCTAGTGAAGGAGAAACAGACCTCAAGAACAGGTTTACAGAGCTGGAAAATAAAGGGGCTCAGCAGGTAGTCACTGAAGAAGAGAAGAGAGGCTAGTCCTATACAAAAGGGGAAGAGTCAATGGAGACTACACCAAATATGAGCCCCAGAAGGATACAGGATGGGTTGAAGAGGATTACAAGGGAGAATAGGAATGGAAAGAACTTGCAGCCAGAGGGAACAGGGAATAGACTAGAGAATAGCACCGTCACCAGGAAAAGGCAGGTCTATGTGATCGGGGACTCGTTACTGAGAAGAATAGATAGGCCTGTAACAAGAGCTGATCCAGAGAACAGAAGGGTATGCTGTCTTCCAGGTGCTAAAATACGGGATGTAGACCTGAGGTTTAAAAGGATCCTAAAAGGGAGCAGGAAAGAATCCCCTAATTATCCTTCATGTGGGAACAAATGATACAGCTAGATCTTGCTGGAAAGTATTAAGGGAGACTATGTTATGCTGGGGAAGACGCTTAAGGAAATCGAGGCTCAGGTGATCTTCAGTGGGATTCTGTCTGTTCCTAGAGAAGGGCAACAAAAGGTATGACAAGATTATGATGCTCAACAGATGGCTCAGGTAGTGGTGCTATAAGGAGGGCTTTGGGGATGTATGGCCACTAGGAGGACAGTTCTCTCGGGATGGACTTCATCTGAGTAGGGAAGGAAATAGACTTCTAGGATGGAGGATGGCACAACTTATCAAGAGAGCTTTAAACTAGGAATTTGGGGGAGATGTCCAGGTAATCTCCACGCTGGATTTTAGCATTGAGAGGGAAGAAAACGAAGTAAGAAAGGATACAGCCGTGGTAGGAGAATGGACATAAGGAGGAAGGGTAGTATACATACCAGTCTAATAGGTGATACTGGCAGAAGAATGTCTGTGCCTAATCGGGTAAAGAATGTGAGCGAGGCCAAACAGCAAAAATTAAGATGTTTGTACACCAATGCGAGGAGCCTAGGTAACAAAATGGAGGAACTAGAGCTAATGGTGCAGGAAGTGAAACCAGATATTATAGGGATAACAGAAACATGGTGGAATAGCAGTCATGACTGGACTACAGGTATTGAGGGGTATGTGCTGTTTAGGAAAGACCAAAATAAAGGCAAAGGTGGTGGAGTAGCATTGTATATCAATGATGAGGTTGAATGTAAAGAAATAAGAAGCGATGGAATGGATAAGACAGAGTCTGTCTGGGCAAAAATTACATTTGGGAAGAAAACTATTAGAGTCTCCCCTGGGATAGTGCTTGGGGTGTGCTATAGACCTCCGGGATCTAATTTGGATAGAGCCCTTTTCAATGAAGTAAATGCTAATGGGAATTGTGTGATCATGGGAGACTTTAGCTTCCCAGACATAGACTGGAGAACAAGAGCTAGTAATGATAATAGGGCTCAGATTTTCCTGGATGCGATAGCTGATGGATTCCTTCATCAAGTATTTGCTGAACTGACTAGAGGGGATGCCATTTTAGATTTGGTTTTGGTGAGTAGTGAGGACCTCCTAGAAGAAATGGTTGTAGGGGATAATCTTGGTTCAAGTGGTCATGAGCTAATTCAGTTCAAACTGAACGGAAGGATTAAACAAAAATAAATCTGCGACTAGGGTTTCTGATTTCAAAAGGGCTGAATTTCAGAAATTAAGGAATTAGTTAGGGAAGTGGATTGGACTGAAGAATTTATGGATCTAAAGGCAGAGAAGGCCTGGGATTACTTTAAATCAAAGCTGCAGAAGCAATCAGAATTCTGCATCCCAAGAAAGGGGAAAAAAAAAATCATAGGCAGGAGTTGTAGACCAAGCTGGATGAACAAGCATCTCAGAGAGCTGATTAAGAAAAAGCAGAAAGCATACAGGGAGTGGAAGATGGGAGGGATCATCAAGGAAAGCTACCTTATTGAGGTCAGAACAAGTAGGGATAAAGTCAGACAGGCTAAAAGTCAAGTAGAGTTGGACCTTGCAAAGGGAATTAGAACCAATAGTAAAAAGGTTCTATAGCCATATAAATAAGAAGAAAACGAAGAAAGAAGAAGTGGGACTGCTAAACACTGAGGATGGAGTGGAGGTCAAGGATAATCTAGGCATGGCCCAATATCTAAACAAATACTTTGCCTCAGTCTTTAATAAGGCTAAAGAGGATCTTAGGGATAATGGTAGCATGACAAATGGGAATGAGGATATGAGAGGTAGATATTTCCATATCTGAGGTAGAAGAGAAATTCGAACAGCTTAATAGGACTAAACTGCGTGCGCGCAGGGGGGCTGGGGTGGAGCAGGCAAATCTTCATCCAAGAATATTAAAGGAATTGGCACATGAAATTGCAAACCCATTAGCAAGAATTTTTCATGAATCTGTAAACTCAGGGGTTGTACCGTATGATTGGAGAATTGCTAACATAGTTCCTATTTTTAAGAAAGGAAAAAAAAAATGTGATCCAGGTAACTACAGGCCTGTTAGTTTGACATATGTAGTATGCAAGGTCTTGGAAAAAATTTTGAAGGAGAAAATAGTTAAGGACATTGAAGTCAATGGTAAATGGGACAAAATACAACATGGTTTTACAAAAAGGTAGATCGTGCCAAACCAACCTGATCTCCTTCTTTGAGAAAGTAACAGATTTTTTAGACAAAGGAAACACAGTGGATCTAATTTATCTCGATTTCAGTAAGGCGTTTGATACCGTGCCACATGGGGAATTATTAGTTATATTGGAAAAAATGGGGATCAATTGTGAAAATTGAAAGGTGGATAAGGAATTGATTAACAGGGAGACTACAGCGGGTCCTACTGGAAGGTGAACTGTCAGGCTGGAGGGAGGTTACCAGTGGAGTTCCTCAGGGATCAGTTTTGGGATCAATCTTATCTAATCTTTTTATTACTGAACTCAGCACAAAAAGTGGGAGTGCTAATAAAGTTTGTGGATGATACAAAGCTGGGAAGTATTGCCAATTTAGAGAAGGACCGGGATATCATACAGGAAGATCTGGATGACCTTGTAAACTAGAGTAATAGTAATAGGATGAAATTTAATAGTGAGAAGTGTAAGGTTATGCATTTAGGGATTAACAACAAGAATTTTAGTTATAAGCTGGGGACGCATCAATTAGAAGTAACAGAGGAGGAGAAGGACCTTGGAGTATTGGTTGATCCCAGGATGACTATGAGCCGCCAATGTGACATTGCCGTGAAAAAAGCTAATGTGGTCTTGGGATGTGTCAGGCGAGGTATTTCCAGTAGAGATAAGGAGGTTTTAGTACCGTTATACAAGGCACTGGTGAGACCTCACCTGGAATACTGTGTGCAGTTCCGGTCTCCCATGTTTAAGAAGGATGAATTCAAACTGAAACAGGTACAAAGAAGGGCTACTAGGATGATCCGAGGAATGGAAAACCTGTCTTATGAAAGGAGACTCAAAGAGCTTGGCTTGTTTAGCCTAACCAAAAGAAGGTTGAGGGGAGATATGATTGCTCTCTATAAATATATCAGAGGGATAAATACCGGCGAGGGAGAGTAATTATTTAAGCTCAGTACCAATGTGGACACAAGAACAAACGGATATAAACTGGTCATTGGGAAGTTTAGACTTGAAATTAGATGAAGGTTTCTAACCATCGGAGGAGTGAAGTTTTGGAATAGCCTTCCAAGGGAAGCAGTGGGGGCAAAAGATCTATCTGGCTTTAAGATTAAACTTGATAAGTTTATGGAGGAGATGGTACAATGGGATAACAGGATTTTGGTAATTAATTGATCCTTAAATATTCATGGTAAATAGGCCTCATGGCTGTGTTGGGATGTTAGATGGGGTGGGATCTGAGTTACTACAGAAAATTCTTTCCTGGGTATCTGGCTGGTGAATCTTGCCCATATGCTCAGGGTTTAGCTGATTGCCATATTTGGGGTCGGGAAGGAATAGTCCTCTAGGGCCTCTTCCAATTTTTTCTGTTTTTCGCCTTCCTCTGTGGCATGGGTCACTTGCTGGAGGATCCTCTGCTCCTTGAAGTCTTTAAACCATGATTTGAGGACTTCATTAGCTCAGACGTAGGTGAGAGGTTTTTGGCAGGAGTGGGTGGGTGAGATTCTGTGGCCTCGGTTGTGCAGGAGGTCGGACTAGATGATCATAATGGTCCCTTCTGACCTTAGTATCTATGAATCTATAAATTATTTTTCTTGTATTATGTGCCAAAAAGTTAAATATTTTAGTAAAATTCTGTCAACTACAATAAGTTTATTTGATCAGTGTAAGATTGCCCATAATAAAAAAGCATGTGTGTAGCTGAATTCCAACACTTACCCAAGTAAGATTTCCAATGTACAACGCAATTCTCTTTCCAGTATATGTATAGACAACATTTGGTGCTGCTCCTTTACCTACGTCATCTCCAACTGATGGTGGGAGAGAGTCCATATAATCACGGTCCTCTGGGGCATCGCCATTATTTGCAGATGGAGAGATGACGTCATCATACAAATCTATCTGATCATGTCCACCATATTCAGCTTCCTAAAACACAAAAAAATATGCCGTAGATTACATATTACCTAAAATACTTTTAATATTTATTCAAAACAAATACTGCTCTAAAATGTCCCAGAGAATTATCACACGAGGTAAGACAGACACATTTGAACCTGAAGTGCAACAGTATATCCCCTCCCTTGTGAAACAGTTTACGTCCCAATCTGATCTACATTCGAATGTATATAAATCTGAATGTTACGACTTCTGCTTTCTACTTTAAAAAAAATTCCACCAACCAGACAGAAAACTAACAAAAAGCCTATAGTTACTGCTTAATCCTACAATGATTTTGTTCTACTGATAGAGACAAACAAGAGAACACAAATCTTATTCTGAGAATGTTGCTGACATTAATGATGCTGGTAAGCAAAATAGCAGCATGTTAACATCAGGTCTTATGCAAAAACAAAAGTAAATATTTTCCTATATTAAAAGGAACAGGTATGGAAAGTGGTTTGAGCTTTTACAAGAGTCCTGGCAATGAACACAACACGCAGCTAAATTTTTCAGAGATTGGATCTTAAACTTGATCCCTGATTCTCGAATACAGGGTCAGGAAGGGAGAACTTCATACTCTAATGATCCTACTTAATATAAAAGAGAAACGCTGTCTGTTTCCAAAGACAGCTATATCCCACTTTCTGGTATCACGGTGTCATCACAATAGGAGTTGAAATGGGAAATGATAAGAGGAGCAAAACCAAATCCATTTTTAATTGCGTTATCAGTCCACTTTAAGTTTAGACATTTTAACATTAAAATGGGCAATATACTCTTCTTTGCAATTAGCGAGCATATATTAAAAAAAATTCCTAGCTATAGCTCTAGTAATAAATTTATGAAAAGATTTAACCCAGAGTATTTTATCTAAATTGAAGACTCCTCTTGATGCAGCCATTTACATTTTTTAATCTCCATTTACAGTCGTATAAATGGACAACTTGGCAAATGAAGTTAGCATCTGACTTACTGGTCCCTCACCTGCAAAATCAGAGTGACAACACACTGGCATTACCTGTGCTACAATTATTATTATTTTAAAAGGGACTAGACCACTGCCTTAGGGCCCTGCCATAACAAACTCCCCTCATACCCTCGCATAACACGTCCGTTCCCCTTAAACCACTCCCCATGATGCTTTCCCCCACTTCAGGATTCTAGACCACAGGGCAGGAAAAGCTGGTTACATACACTTCATAAGAGGAGAGTGTTTCCAGATGTTCTCAAAAAGAAAAGGAGTACTTGTGGCACCTTAGAGACTAACAAATTTATTTGAGCATAAGCTTTCGTGAGGTACAGCTCACTTCATCTGATGCATGCAGTGAAAAATACAGTAGGGGGATTTCATATACACAGAGAACATGAAACAATGGGTGTTACCATACACACTGTAACGAGAGTGATCAGGTAAGGCGAGCTATTACCAACAGGAGGGAAAAAAAAAAAAAAAACCTTTTGTAGCAATAATCAAGGTGGGCCATTTCCAGCAGTTGACAAGAACGTGTAAGGAACAGTAGAGGGGAAAAACAAACATGGGGAAATAGTTTTACTTTGTGTAATGACATATCCACTCCCAGTCTTTATTCAAGACTAATTTAATGGTGTCCAGTTTGCAAATTAATTCCAATTCAGCAGTCTCTCGTTGGAGTCTGTTTTTGAAGTCTTTTTGTTGTAATATTGCCACTTTTAGGTCTGTAATTGAGTGACCAGAGAAATTGAAGTGTTCTCCGACTGGTTTTTGAATGTTATAATTCTTCACGTCTGATTTGTGTTTTTACGTAAAGACTGTCCGGTTTGGCCAATGTACATGGCATTGCTGGCACATGATGGCATTGATAGATGTGATCACATTGGTAGATGTGCAGGTGAATGAGCCTCTGTGTGGCTGATAGTGTGGCCCTATGATTGTGTCCCCTGAATACATATGTGGACACAGTTGACAACGGGCTTTGTTGCAAGGATAGATTCCTGGGTTAGTGGTTTTGTTGTGTGGTTGCTGGTGAGTATTTGCTTCAGGTTACGGGGCTGTCTGTAAGCAAGGACTGGCCTGTCTCCCAAGATCTGTGAGAGTGATGGGTCGTCCTTCAGGATAGGTCGTAGATCCTTGATGATGCGTTGGAGAGGTTTCAGTTGGGGGCTGAAGGTGATGGCTAGTGGCGTTCTGTTATTCTCTTTGTTGGGCCTGTCATGTAGTAGGTGACTTCTGGGTACTCTTCTGGCTCTATCAATCTGTTTCTTCACTTCAGCAGGTGGGTATTGCAGTTGTAAGAACGCTTGATAGAGATCTTGTAGGTGTTTGTCTCTGTCTGAGGGGTTGGAGCAAATGCAGTTGAACTGTAGAGCTTAGCTGTAGACAATGGATCGTGTGGTGTGGTCTGGATGAAAGCTAAAGGAATGTACATAAGTATAGCAGTCCATAGGTTTCCGGTATGGGGTGGTGTTTGTGTGACCATCGCTTATTAGCACTGTAGTGTCCAGGAAGTGGATCTCTTGTGTGGACTGGTCCAAGCTGAGGTTGATGGTGGGATGGAAATTGTTGAAATCATGGTGGAATTCCTCAAGGGCTTCTTTTCCATGGGTCCAGATGATGAAGATGTCATCAATATAGCGCAAGTAAAGTATGGGCATTAGGGGACAAGAGCTGAGGAAGCATTGTTCTAAGTCAGCCATAAAAATGTTGGCATACTGTGGGGCCACACGGGTACCCATAGCAGTGCCGCTGATTTGAAGGTATACATTGTCCCCAAATGTGAAATATAGTTATGGGTGAGGACAAAGTCACAAAGTTCAGCCACCAGGTTTGCCGTGACATTATCGGGAATACTGTTCCTGATGGCTTGTAGTCCATCTTTGTGTGGAATGTTGGTGTAGAGGGCTTCTACATCCACAGTGGCCAGGATGGTGTTTTCAGAAAGATCACCGACGGATTCTAGTTTCCTCAGGAAGTCAGTGGTGTCTCCAAGATAGCTAGGAGTGCTGGTAGGTTGGCCCTGAGGAGGGAGCCTACGTAGCCAGACAATCCTGCTGTCAAGGTGCCAATGCCTGAGATGATGGGGCGTCCAGGATTTCCAGGTTTATGGAAACTCCAGGTGTTCTGTAAAGGAGTCAGTTGCACAACTACTAAAAATACCAAGTTATAACACCCATATTCTCCCTTGTGAAATCAACCTCCAAAATTCTCTTGGCAAAACAAATCTCCATCTACCCGAAGTTCTGTATTTTACAACAAGATCCCCCCCACATAAACCCCTTTCTACTATGTAAAATTCTGTTGTATCTTAACTTTTGTTTTTAAATATTTACTTCACCCACATATTGAGTCAGTAAATATATGAAGGCTGCATGCACCACCACAGTATTAACGGTCTTACAAATTCTAAAAGTCAAAGAGTCTGTTTCTTTCCCTCCTGATTGCTATTTTAAATTGCAGGAAAGCTAAATCAAAGTGGTGAATTTTGCACTTTGTTCTGAAAATTGGGTTCAAGATCATTTTAAATTCCTGCAGAAACAAGTTTCACATTTCTAGGCCAGCAGCTTTCAGTTCTGTCACCTGCATTTATAAGCCTTCACATGTTTTAGTAGTTCCATAGTTCCTGAGGAATGCAGCTGACATGGAAGTTTATAATTACTGAGAAGCAGCTTTTAAACCAGCTCATGCCAATGTCATGAGAGGCTTTGAGGATCAGTACTGTAACCCCAAGTTTGACTCGGTTCACTGGGTAGCCGGTGAAATGAGCAGAACATTGGGGTGATATGCTGTAAGCAATCTATGTTATTAAGTATGTAAGCTGTTTCACTTTTAACTAATTGGACAATGTGGTACAATCGGAGAGTCAAGAGTTTTAGGCCAGAAGGGACCTCCTGTACTTAATATGCCACGTACGCTACCCAGCACCTGCACACTAAACACAACTGAAATTAGACCAAAATATTATAACCCACTGGAAACTAGATTATGTGTCACAGGCAGAGAACAGGAGGTACCAACATGCATCAGTGCTCCACAATCACGTACAATGTGTTGCAAGAATAAATGCAGAAAGTCATTAATGCATGGATCATTGTGGCCTAGTCCAAAACTGAGACCATGGGGTGCAGTCTCCTGGCCAGCTTCAGGTAGAAGAGCTCTTTTCCAGCAGCCATATTTATTGGGCATCCAGTAACAATGAAGATTCCAGCTGGCCCCACCCCAGGGAGGGTGTTAATGTGGTTCTGAGTTCTTTGAAGCATTATCTTCTCTCCACCAGCATCACCCTGTATTGCTCACATTTAGTATCAGTCATCTGCTCTTCGCTGACACTAGTGGTATGTCTACACAGCAAAAGCTGCGCGCTGACAAACATACCTGAGCTAGTGATGTGTATGGACTAGCCTACCCAAGCTAGCTTAAATCCAGCTAGTGTGGGTAACAATAGCGATGAAGCAACATGAGCTTCTGAATGGGCTAACAAGCCAAGTACAAACCCAGGATCCATGCCAGGCTTGTACTACATGTACTGAAGCCCAGAGTGCACTACCTTCACTGCTATATTACCTGTGCTAGCTAGATTCAAGCTAGATCTAGTAGGCTGGTCTTTGCACAATTTTTGCTATGCAGATATACCCTAAAACAGCTAAGGGATGGTATTCTTTGTATCTGACATAATGGTGTTGTCCATGTATTACTGGCATATGAATCTGTGTGTTGTCTCAAGATCTTCCCCAGGAAAAAAAGATTACTTATCTGTACAGGTGAGTCGCATCATTTAACTTACGCAAATTCAAATATACACACTTGGCGCAAAAAAAAAAAAAGAGAAAAAGAAAAACAAGATACCTGGAAATAGTGCGGGCAATTCTGCCCACCATTCCACTCAATAAGTGTATGCCCTGGAGTGAGCGTGAGATGGGAGACATGAATCTGCTGTTCCCTCAGTCGGTCTCAGTTTCCACGTGCCTCTCAGTGTGAGCATCTCGCCACACCGACTGTGATTCTAGTGTTTAAAGACACGTATTTTTCATATAACATGGCTCCTAAACGCAAGCCAACTACTTCATCTGGTGCTCAACCGAAGAAACAGCGATCCGTTCCAAGGCTGGAGGAAAAACTTGCTGTGTTGGACTTATTGAGAGACGGTATGTCAGTCTCCAATGTGGTGCGTAAATATGGCTGCAACAAATCTAGCATCTGTGCTATCAAGATTCGAGAGAGAGAAATTCGTCAACCGTGGCATCCAATAACTGCTACGGTGACGAGCCAGGTGCATGATAAGACTTAAGTTTAATGCCTTTTTAGTCTTCACTAATGGCTGGAAGACATGAACTGTAAATGTGTGCCTATCGATGGCAACATGTTACAAGAAAAGGCTCTTAGCCTCTACGCGCTGTTCAAACCTCCAGCAGAAGAGGGACAGCCTTCTGATGAGAAGGAATTCAAAGCCAGCCAAGGTTGGCTTAACAGTTTTAGGAACCGCTTCAACCTCAAAAACGTGCAGACTACTGGTGAAGCTGCATCTGCCAATGAAAAGGCAGCAAAAGCGTACACTGAACAACTAAAGAAAATCAAAAAAGAAAAGGGCTATCTTCCAGAACAAGTTTTTAATGCTGACGAGACTGGGCTCTTCTGGAAAAAAATGCCCAACCGCACTTACATTTCAAAGTCAGAAAGACAAGCCCCTGGCTTCAAAGCAGCTAAATACTGTGTGACTGTGTTGTTTTGTGGCAATGCAGCTGGACATTTAATAAATCCAGGCTTGCTCTACAGGGCTGCAAATCCCCGTGCCCTAAAAGGCAAGAAAAAAAATCTCCTGCCTGTGTTCTGGCAATCAAATAAAAAGGCTTGGGTGACGGCAGTATTATTTCTGGATTGGTTCCACAAGTGTTTCATTCCGGAGGTCAAGTGGTACCTCGAAGAGAAAGGACTTGACTTTAAAGTGTTGCTGATCATAGATAATGCTCCTGGTCACCTTGCGGCACTCCACTTTGCGCATAACGACACTGAAGACGTCTTTCTCCCCCACCAATACCACCTCCATCCTCCAACCTCTCGACCAAGGCGTGATTCGCTGTTTCAAGGCCACGTACATGAGGCTTACATTCTCATGGATACGTAGCGCTATAGATGCTGATCCCAATCTTAATGGGATGGAGTGCTGGAAGTCCTTCAACATTGCCAATTGCATCACTTATATTAAACAGGCAATGTATGCAATCAAGCCTGAAATAGTCAATGCATGTTGGCGAAACCTATGGAAAGAATGTGTGAATGATTTTAAGGGTTTCCCAACCAGTGACAAAGAAGTGAAATGCATTGTTCAGGTGGCCAGGCAAGTGGGTGGTGATGGCTTCGTCGACATCCTTGAGGAAGAAATTGAATAATTGAGAGCCATAGAGAAACATGGCCTAACGAAAGTTAGAGGAACTGATAAAATCGCCTACAGAAGATGAAGATGACGACAACGAACAGGAAGAGCCAGCAAGTTGGAATCTTTATAAATTTGCTGAAGTATTCCAGGCAGCGAAACACTTCAATGATTTAATTTCTGAATATCATCCCTCCGTGGAATGAAGCCTCAAAATCACATGTAGTATTACGGACTATTTGAGACTGTATCAAGAAAGGTTTGAGCAGCTCAAGAGACAACAGCAACAGTTGCTGATCACCACGTTTTTCAAGGAAAAACGACCAGCAGCAGATGAGCCTACGCAATCAACTTCTCGAGCTGAACCAGAGCCAACCACTTCGTCTACGACTCCCGCTCCGTTACCCAAGCTCTCCGTCACCTCCGTCTCCTGGATCGACATCAAGCCCTGACGACCCCCTGTAATTACCCCTGTAATTAAAAATACAGTACTGTAAAATTATATTTTGCATATGTACTTATTTATACTGTACATTACTGTATACATATTACTGTACTGGGTCGTATACACAAAACCATGTACAGTATACTGTACTTTATGGGCAATTAAGAGATTTTCAAGGGTCATTTTGACTATACGCCATTGTTGCCTTATGCACTGACTTTAGAACCTAATCCCCGCATAAGATGTGACTCCACTATATTGTAACTGATGTTCTTTGAGATGTGGTTGCACATACATATTCCACAGAGGAGAGTGCACCCAATATGTCAGAGCCAGAGAGTTTTCTGTAGCTGTACCTGTCAAGGAGACACACACACTGCACATCTTCATGGCTCCTCTCAAGGCTATATAAGGGAAATGGTGCCCCAATCCCCTAGAGTTCCTTTGCACCAGAATATGGTGACTCGGGATTCCGGTGCAGAGTGGTTACAAGATGGGTAAGTAACCATTTTTTCCTTCTTTGAGTGAATGTACGTGTGTTCCACTCAGATGACTCTCAGCAGTACCATTAGGAGGTGCGGCGCAGAGTCTATTTAAATAGGAACTGCAATACTGTTTTCCCAAAATTTGCTTTAGATCTTGAAGCAGTCATGATGGCATAAGGAATGAAGGTATGCACAGAGGACCAAGTAGCAGCCCTACAAATGTCTAGCATGGGGACATCCCATAGAAAAGCTAATGAAGTTGCTTGAGTTGAATGGGCTGACTGTCGTTGTGGAGGAGAGGTGTGAGCTATAGAACTGAGAAGGGCTCAGATGAATTCTATTTTCTATGTTAGGATTAATCTGGATTTTCCTTTTTTTCCAGGCTGAGTCCCACATAGTCAAAGAGACAAAACGATAAACAATGTGGTGGAGAACCTGATACTCAGATCTCCCTCACACTAACAGTTGCCTAGGTAAGGGAAAACGTGCATTCCTGTTCTCAAGTAGTCCACCACCACTACAATGAACTTGGTGCACATATGTGGCACTGACAGGTCAAACGGAAGTACTGTGTATTGATAGTGTTGGCCTGCTACTACAGATCCCAGAAACTTCCCATTACTTGGCACTATCATCGCATGGAAGAACAAGGAAAGCAAACCAGTAACTGTGATCTAGGATTGATGCCAGGGAAACCACGTACACGATGAACTTTTTGAGATTTCAAAAGTACAATATGGGTCTCAAACTTTTCTTCAACTTGAGGATCAGAAAATATCATAAGTAAAACTTCTTTCCCCAGTGTTGATGGGGAACTTCTTGTATGGCCCTTAAAGTGAACAGAGTCTGAACTTTTTGAAAAAATGAGGAGTACTTTTGTTGATACAGACTAACACGGCTACCACTCTAAAACCTCCATTTTTTGAAGAAGCAGTAACTCGTGAGATGAGTCCCTGAAAAGGGTAGGTGGATGGAGAGGAAATAGATAGAATATCCCAATTTTGTAGTGTTTAGGATCCAGTTGGCTCTCATTATGGCTTCCCAGCACTGAGAAAATGGGACAATCTTTCCCTAAATGAGAGGGTGAGGAGATGAGAGGAAGATCGCTGACAATTGCATCGCTGTCCTCAAATGGGCTGCTTCCACACAGCTGACTGAGGATAAGCTGGCTGACTCAAAGTGAAGTTGAAGGACCTCTGTCTCTGATGTTTGTGCTTCCCTCTCAAAAAATCATGTTGCCTTGGTGGATATCAAGACTGCATATAAAAATTGACAGGGATATTACTGTTGAGGGTCTATACCGACAAAAAGGGTAGCACAAGAGTCTTTAAATGAAAGTAGTTTCATTGTCAGTTCTTGTTTTCAGGCAACACCAAATCAAACAGAAGGTTCTCTATAGTTTGTTGGATGTCCAAAGCTATGTAACCAGGGGAGTCTCATTGTTATTGCAGAAGGCATCACCCTAGAACAGTGGTTCCCAAACTTTAACAACCTGTGAACCCCTTTCACTAAAATGTCAAGTCTCGCAAATCCCCTCTTAAAAATATTTTCTCCTTTACCCGAGTATAAATAAGCATGTCACAAAAATAAATTTTATATTTCCAAGATCACTGCTCTTATTATTATTAATCATTACAGTATTTTTATTACATTATGAAAACGGCAACACTCTTCCAAGATCTCAATTTCGTAGCTTGTATCAGTTTGAATAAGCCTGTTGTAAGACAAGGCTCCTATGTTTCATCAAGGAGTATCAGATGTGAAACAGCATGAAGGTATTTAAGAAGCCAACCCAAAGAGTTCCTCCTGCACAAGCATTCAGGTCTTGAGCAGTCCAGGCAAACAACTCATGTTACAACAAAGCTTAAACTTGTTCTTCATCATAATTTTAAAAACAATAGTAGCTGCCTATTTAATTTTAAAAACAGCAAAAAATATCCATCTCCCTTTCCATTTTTTTTATAAGGAGTCTTGAAGTTTAAATCTCCTTAGTGTGATAGATATGCTTGTTTTGATCTGCTCAGCTCTTGGAAGTCTAGGAGCTCCGGGCTGCTGGCCCCAGGGTGTCCGGGGTTCCTAGGGACATCTCTATCTACCATTAGGGAATTTTCCCACCCAAGAATCCCCTGTAACATTTTGCGAACCCCAGTTTGGGAATCACTGCCCTAGAACAAGGGCCCATGATGTCAGGAGCAGGCTGGGTGAGGTCCTGTCCTCCCTTGCATCCTTTGGTAGTTTGCCAGTAAACCTGGACATTAACTCCTATTTACAAAGTCATATCCAGCTAACAGTGCCTGTTAGTTCGCTATACGCATCTGGAGAGAAGAGGTATAGTACATTTCACTCTCAAACTAATCAAATCTCTTGGGCTCTTTTTCTTTGGGAGCGGATTTAAATCTCCCGACATGCTCTCTCATTGGCAGCCATAATTATAAGAGAGTTTAGGGAATAAAAGCACTTGAACCAACTTATTGGAATATGATGTTTATTTGTACACTTAGGAGCTAAGGAGGCTAGCATGTACCATAAAGCATTTTCCAGTTCTAGAAGATCGTCATTAAATGGGAGGGCATCCCTCCCCAAAGGAGTCATCTCAAGGAAGTCCAAAAGCCTCTGAGTGTTCAATTGTACTAGATCAACTTGCATGACTAAAGGAATCCTCAAAAGGGACTTGGTGATGTAAGACTTAAAATCTTCTGGAACGAGAGAAGAGGAGTCCAGAATCATTGAATCATCAAGTGAGAAGGAAGACAGGCCAACAGGAGCTGATGGATCCTCCTGAGGTAAAACCCATTCTTCCTGCATTGATTCCTCCTGCAGCACTAGCTGCTCAGTGTCCAGCTTTCAATCAAAGTGGCTCTGGAAGCTGCTTTGCTTATGGTATGGCAATGTTCCTTTCAACTGGGCCAGTGATTGAGACCTGGGGGATAGGGATACATGTTCCAAAAATGCCAATGCAGGAAAGCATAAGGCATGGGAAGCCAGTAGGTACCGGTCCACAATGCTTTCTTTGCTGTATAACCAATCCCACTCCTGGTACTGGCGCTCTCCTTTTGGGGGCAGACTAAAACATTTTCTAGACAAACTGTGCCTAGAATGGGATGGCAAAGTGCTGGAGGACTTCGAAAAAACGGTTACCTACCTTTTCTAACTGTTTGCTGCCTCATAAGCTTGTGGGGTCATTGGTATCAATAATGTTGGCACCAAAACATAATCCATTGGTATTAGACTCAATGGCTGTTCCATGAACAGGAGTGGAGTTGATGGTACAGCACCAACATCTTCTCCCCAGTACTATGCAGGGAGGCAGGTCAATGGCCAACCCTACCTTGAGTACCTGAACAATCCCAGTTATGTTCCATGTCCTTTGAAGAAGAAGAGTCTTTTTTCAACTTCAAGTAGCTCCAGCCTATCTCCTTTCAGGGAAGCTCTGGAGAGCAAGACCAACCCTCTTTCTTCATGGAAAGAAATCTGAATCCAGAGATCACTGCAGCCTCAGTAGCAAACTGCAGGCAGGTGGCAGGGTGTGTGGTCGAGGGCTCGGAGGCTGAGAAAGCACTCATCGCCTGATCCATGAGTAATCTGAGTTGCAGATCTCTGGAAATCTGCATTCTTTTCTTGAAATAATGCCAGATACTGCTTTTCTTAATGTGTCTCTTGCTGAGACACAAAAGACAACCCATGCGGAGGTCTCCATCAGGACAGACAACCCACACAACAGGCAGTGCTAAAGGCCCAGTGAGCACTGCATGCCACCAGTCCCTAGAATCAAAGACTAATTACTAAAATAACAAATAAAATAAAACAAAAGAAAAGAAACAATATTGGATAGTAACCACTAAAGCTTGTCTCTCTCACAAACAGAAGATGGTTCAATATTATGTCACTCACCTTGTCTCTCTATTTACAGAAAAGGTAGAGCTAAACTCACTGACTACACAGAAGAAGAATCGTGCAGCAAACTGCCCCGGGAGCTCAGACCACTGGGAGCAAGAAGGAACTGAGGGGGTTGGGGCAGCAACAACTTATACAGCTTCAGGAGGGGCCATGAAGATGTGCCATCCCTATGGGTACTGCTGCAGAAAACTCTGGGCTCCAGTACACTGGGACCACACACACCTGTGCAATCACTCAAAGAAGAACTTTGCATGTTAAACAGGGTGAAAGAAGAATTAAGTCTCCTGGAACTCCAGAAGAGATGGTCCTAGAGGTGACAGCTGTTGTTCACCTAAGCACTTTGGTCTTGGAACTGAAATTAATTAGAGTAGTCTCAGTGCATTCCCATTCACCCCTAAAACATCTCTAAGGCATGACTGCTGTATTTCATGACAGACAGGATGATAAAGCCAATCAGATGCTGCAACTCTATATCACATTTTTCCTTTCCTCATCAAAAATCTAAAATGTCAAATTAAAATGTTAACATTTTCTTGCCCCAATAGTCAACAAATCAAACACAATGTTGCCCCCTTAAATCAGTTTTGTGGAAAACATTTCAGCCCACCAAACCAGTAGCAACAGAGATATGAAATTCCATCCTTCTCCCTTCAACTCAATTATATGTTAATTTCACATAATAACTGGGACTTTTTAGATATTAAATAAAATAATCTAAGAAATGCTTGACAAAATCTAGGATTTTTTCCTGCTTTACCATTTTTAACATACCATCCCCTCTCCATTTTTTCCAAACAAAACAGCTTTTTCTCTCCCCACTTATTTTCCAGAGTAGGACTTTACCACCACATTCACTTGACTGAACAGAGAAGGAAGAAATAAGGGCAAAAACAAGAATGAGCTGGACAGGCAAAGAAAAATCTGTTCTCCTGTGTAGACGTGGCAGAGTGGTTTAGCCTCCATGCAGGACAACAAGCAAGACATTATTTCATTTAATATTTTCTAAACCTGCCATTTCACATGCCCTTGCTCAATGTGTCTCATTTTAGGACTCAAGGCTGCAAGTTACTTTATGCAGACAGACCCCTATGCCCATCCAGAATTACAAGGACTTTGTTATGGATCCACATGGAAGAGCCGGCTGGATGACAGTCTTTACAGATTTTTTTGAACTACCACTGGCCAATTACTGTAGGTTGTATGAAGAGCTATGGGATTTACTATTTTTGTGCACATTTGTTACCCATAGTCATACATCAAGTTAACAGAAAAATGCATAATAGAAAAATCATTCACACAAAAAAGTGACACCCCCCCATAAGAAAATGTGCTGCAGTTTTTTCGGGGGGGCAGGGGGGAAGAGAACAGAGGCAAATGTCTAAGTTTCCACTATTGTTTTTGTTTCTTCTAACTCATCCTGCTGTGTATACAAACTATTGATGCACACACAGTGTTGTGGAAAAGATTTGCAGGTCCTAAAAGATCACAAATAGAAAGATCTGTGTAGTCCTTTACAACCAATACAGTGTCATCAACCTTTTTTCAGGGGAGGGAATGAATCCTCAGATGTTAAAGCTTCTGAAATAGCTTCACGTACTAGCGTACCTATACTCAAGCAAGCTTTAACAAAAGAAAAGGCCTTCTGATGCTACTAAAATACAGTAGTCGATGACTCCCTCCTCAAGGAGAACCATCCAAGATGGTGGACAAGATTTTGTGGATCCTGCACAACTTGTAGGTTCTTGCAGTTTACATCACACATCCAACTGTTTCAGCTCACAGTATACAATGGAGAATATTACATTACAAAATTGAGAAAGTGGCCAAAAACAATGTACAAGTGGAATAACTAAGAAAAATCCACATGTAGCTAAGAGCTTATGTGATTATCATCTTGATTGTATTATGGTAGCATCTACTCTAGATGGCCCAACAGGGACTGAGGCCCCATTGTGATAGGTGCTATACATACACTCAGTAACAGGCAGTCTGTGCCCAAGACCTTACAAGCAAGGGCAAAACCTTAATAACATGGTGAATTGCCCTCCAAATTCAAAGAAATTATTTTCCAATAAGCCATATTTGATTTACACAGCCTTATCTTAATATTAAAGCAAACATCTTTACCTGTAAACCAATCTAAATTTACCACATTCTTTTTCTCTATTTCAGTTTCCACTGTACTCTCTGGAGGAAGTCCAAAAAGTTGCAGCAAGTTGTTAGGCAAAGCTATGGTGTGCTGTCACGTGATAGACAGCCGATTTCGGAAGAGAGTAGGGTGTTTTTTCTTTTAAAAAAGTTCATGTTCCCATGGACTACATAACTACAAGGGGCCTGGGACTATGTAAATACCAGCTGGCTCAACACCTACTTCATAACACTATAGTAGTCTCTTGTACGGTTAGCATAAGTTGGCTACCCTGTTTAATTACTTTTATTATTCAACTGTGTGTATGTCTCAAAACTATTTCTTGTTTTCAAGTTTATCTTCTAATTACTTCTCTAAAAGACTAGAGTCATCAGTATATTTTCAGACACAAAATGCAAAAAAGGTACATATGCCACCAGGCTCTGCTGTAGAAAAAACTGTGATAGTGACCTGCTGCATCCACCAACCCAGACACTGCAGAATCAAGGTCAAAGAGAAAATGAGAACACAGACTACTGAGGTTTTCTCCCCTTTCCTTTCCCCTTAGCAGTTCCTCCAATTTGAGGCACTAAAGAACACAAAGACAATCTCACGCTCTCCAACTTACCTGGAAATCTCATCTCTACAATAGGAAGGACCATAACTTCCTCTCCTAAAGATGAAGCTCAGCTTCCTGCTTTAATTTCATAATTCAGCTTTTGGAAAAATGTCAGCTGAATAAGAACAACAATGAATTTAACCTACTGAGAGCATAAAGGAACTTCTATGTGCCCACCGTAGTCATAACTTAGCAATAAAATCTTAAACAATGTTCACACCAACAGCAAAGTTTACCAGATGTGTTAGTTGGCATTGTAAAACATCTTTTATTTAGTAAATATGCAACTCTGATTAGATTTTTAGTGCCCAATTGTCTCTCAACCACAGTTGTCCCCTGTTTTATAGGTACTCTCACTCCCAAATAGCCCAACACATTGCACCACAGAAAACTCTTCAAGATAGGTTTTAGGGTGTAAAAGAACTCTCAAAAGGAATCATACTGGCAGAAACAAGGTGAAGAAATGCAGTAAAGAATGTCAGAAAGTATAAATGAGTTTTCCAAAACTGCCAGGAAAGAGTCTGAATTGAGCACCCTGAAGGCAAAATGATGGCACTCTAGTAAGGCTACCCAAAGCTTTTTAGAGAAGATTTTATCAAAAAGGTTGATGATAATAACAGCATTGTCCATGTACAGCAAAATCTCAGCGTTACAAACACCTTGGAAATGGAGGTGGTTCGTAAATGTTCATAACTCTGAACAAAATGTTATGGCTCTTCTTTCAAAAAGTTCACACCTGAACACTGACTTAGTACAGCTTTGAAACTTTACTCTGCAGAAGAAAAATGTTACTTTTAACCATCAATTTAAGGAAACTGTTTTTGTGTTTGTTTCATTACTTTCTCAAATCTTTTTTTAAACCTTTTTTGCAGGAAAAAACATTACAACAGTTCTTACTAACAGTGCAGGTCTCTCTCCATGGCCAGTTTTAACATCAAGAGAACGGAGCGAACCACAAGTTTGCAGGAACGCAGAAGGTCAGACAAGGTTGACTATAAGTAAGACAGTAACAAAAGTCGCAAAAAGAAAAAGGAGTACTTGTGGCACCTTAGAGACTGACAAATTTATTTGAGCATAAGCTTTCGTGAGCTACAGCTCACTTCATTGGACGCATTCAGTCATTGTCAAAATTGTGAGCTGTAACTGTGTTGCAGAAACTGTAATTTGTAATACTCACTGCAACTTTTAGTGCCCCTCCTCCATCATGATGGAGGGGCGGCCAGGGCAAGTTTGAGTGACTAGCATTGAGACCTTGGTTGGCAACCAAGAAAAATCTGGGTAAGTACCGACGCAACCTAGTGCATGAGATGGGGCTATGGTGGTGCATGAGGAAGACAACCTCAAGGACTTTGCCTTCTTCAGCAGCACAACTGTGCTGAGGAACCAATTTGGGGAGGCCCCAGTAAGGGGGCTAGGTGGGAGCTGAGACTTAAGCCTCCCAAAGATCTTGATGCCCTGGCAGTGCCAGCCCCCTCACAGGGCTTCTAAGGGTCTCCAAGTTGGGGCCAGCTCAGGGCACAGAGGCTCAGGCCCCACACACAACCTGGACTGAAGGCTTCGGGAGGAGGGGGTATCCAACCTATGTTGGAGATTAAAAGACTCTACAAACAACTCTGTCCTAATGGCACCTTTACCTTCTAATCCTACAGCACGCTACTTTGAGGACATCTCTACAAACACCTACATCTGCTCATCATGACAGAGAAGCAGTAAGGTGAAATTTGAGTGATGTTGCAACCTTGTGCAACAGGTGGCAAAGCCACTCATTCAAAAGTGGCTGGAGCTTGTGTGTGGGTGTACACCCAGGACTGGACTCCTTGTGGGGGTATTCAGATGGGAGGTCTTTATTCTTCATTCTTCTTGTTTGTTTTATTATGGTACTTGAACTGAAAGCATCAAAACCGCAACTTAAACTGTGGCCACAACTTCTGAACAACAAAAATTCACAACTTTTTTAGAGCCTTTATTAAGTGAATGCATGCTTCTTGTGGATTACTTTTGTTTTTTAATTTAGAGGTGAAGGCTAGGCTTTAATAAGCCTTCTTGAAGAAATCCATTTTCAAGAGAAACTTGAAGGTGGATGGAGTCAGGCATAGAGGATGACATTTAAGAAGACGCGCTGAGTTGAACAAAATGACATGTGCAGGCAGTTTTGGCCGAACGGAGAGAAGAGCAGAAAGACTGATGGGAACTAGACCACAGCCTATCATACTGAGCAATATTATCTTCATTGTTTCCTTGTTGTCCCCCACAATTGGTCTGTTTCCATCTGCTGTCTCGTCTTATATTTAGACTTTAAGCAATTTGGTGGCAGCAACAGTCTTTTCCTTCTGGGTTTGAAGAGTGCCTGGCATTATGGGGTCCTCATAGGCATGATGATGATAGAAAAATCATAAAAACTATATTGGGAAGGGCCTTACATGC